ATACCCACAGATTAGTGTCTCTTCCAACCTTTATCAGAGAAGGTTCTCTCTTGCAGTTGATGATTGATATAGAGACTCACAACTGGTCAAAATACAGATAACAAAACAGTGGAGTGCTTAGCTCTAAATGAACAGCAATATCACACCTCCAACTCCAGGGCTCGGGAATCTTCGCCGCAGAGGTCTGCAGGACGGTTGCAAGAACCGAAAGCCGTGAGCACATGCAGTGAAACAGTGCCTGCCATCAAGCCTGATGGCCAGAGTTCTTTCCCTGGAACCCACAGAGCGCAAGGAGAGAACTGACTCCCACAGGTTGGCCTCTAACCTCACACATGCATGGCATGTCCTACACACATACATGCTGAATTGAGGCAGGCAATAAACAATTTAAAAATATACACTGAAACATCTCACAGCAGTTAAAACAAATGAGCTAGGGTTTTATGTGGCTGTGGAAGATCTCTACAACATGTGCAGTGTTGAAACAGGATGAGAATAACAAGACAACAATCATATTAGTCCATGTAGACACATGTGAATGCAGAGACCGTGGTCTGGCATAAAAGTGCCATGCCAGTTGCTTTGGTGGCCCCTGAGGATTAGGGTTGGCAGGATAGCCAAAGGAGAAGTTAGTTAGATGAATTCACACTACAAGGAGCATGCAGTCATTAATCACCTCACAATTTCAACACTGACCACTTACAAAAACAGTCTAGTTAGTTTTGTGGTGGTCTGTTATATTTATTTCACAACCATTTAGCATCAAGTTGATTGCCTTTAGACTCGTGGGCAAATGCTTTCTGTCAAGGACCATTTGTCTCCACTGTTACAGCCATATGGCGTTGTGTTCCAATAAAACTTTATTGATAAAAAAAAAAACAAACAAAAAACTGCTGATGGGCCAGATTTGGCCCATGAGTTATAACTTGGTGATGTCAGTTTAGATTAAGGTCATCATAGAACTAAAGCATTTTTAAGCAGGTACTTGGTGGTATAATAAATAGTCTTCCTATTGCCAACTGGGTAAGCCACAGCCTCAGAGGCCTTGCTCAGAATACTTTAGACTCTGGCCACGTCATTCGAGACCAAACATTTCATCTCAGTGTAGTTAATCCAGCCACATTTCATCTGGGCAGTGGTCATTCACCTTCCCAGCAGCAATGAAAAAACAGCCACGCATGTACAAGGGACAGCACCACACCTGAAACGCAGAGGGAAGGTTTGGTGGCCTTGACGGTGTCATCTAAGAAGCCCTAGGTGTGGAGGGGCCTTAGAGCAGTGTCTCTGGCTGTTCTATGGGGCAGAGATTGGGCCCAGGGGTGCTGAGCATACACAGGGATGGTTCTAACGTAGGGGCAGAAAACTCAGTAGTCCAAAGCTGACCACTGTGCCAAGGTATGGTGGGTGCTGAGATACCCCCGATGGGGATGTAAAGCCTTGTGACTCCTGCTGCTGTCCTTGGCCCTGGGGGCTGCCAACATTAACCTGTCAGGCTCCAGGAGCCCGAGTTAATTGTTCCCAGTTCTTACAGTCTTCAGCAGTGGTGTTTTCTAGGTCAGGGACTCCAACCCTGTCACAGAGGGGGTTGGCTGCCCGTCTAATGCCTGACAACACATACAGAAGCAAGGCTTCTGTTTCCATGATTCCTCCGCAACACAAATGCGGGCCAGGTAGAAGGGCGTCTGGGCTCCACATTCAGCAACTGTTTTAGTGCTTTATTTAACCAAGGGAGGAGGAGAGGGAAGAACAAGGTCCCCTCCAGGCTCCATATTCCATCACGTCGTCGCTGACCTCAGACCTCAACCCGTAAACCTTCTGTACAGAGACAGGGGCCGTTGGACTCCCAGAAGAGAAAGACAGCAAAATCATACCTGTTTGGCGCCCACTGCTTTTGCTGGATTTCTCCCTTGGGGTCCACTTTGAAGAATCAGGAATGGTGGTTCTACTCAGAGCTCAGCACACCTGCACTGGCTGCCTGGTCCCACACAGAGGTCTCGGCTTAAGCCTGTAGTCTTTCCTATGGGCCAAGGTCGGGCTCCCCGGGAGAGGCTGAACCTCTTGCTATAAAAACAGGCAGCTTCTCCTTCTCGGCTTTCAGGCTATGGCGTCCCCGGGCCTAGGAAGTACACTTTTTCTTGCCCACATTTCACCCCAGGTCCAATGTAGTGAGAGGCCCCAGTTGGCACTCCTAAGTCCCAAGTCCAGCACCTGAACTAGCAATGGCCAGATTACCGTATTTACTCTCGTTATATACCCTCACTTTTTTCAAAGTTGTCTTCACTGTATAAGGGGAAGGGTGTTTTCAGTGTCTGCTCTAATTCTGGGCCAATGTCTGCCTCTTTGAGGGTGTTTGCCACTGGAAATAAAGTGTCTTGGAGTCTACAGTTCCTAACACTTTTTTTTTTTTTCTCTAAGTCACTTTCCTGGACAACAGCATTTTTCACGGAAGTGAGAAAAGTACTGAACTATGACACTGCCGTGTTGATGTGGGAAGGAGGGAGGATCCGGACCACAAAGGAGACAGGTGTGATTCTGTAGTTCCAACCTCGGGGCAGAAAGCTGTCTAGGAGAAGGCGACTGGACCACTGGGAAGTTTCTGAGAGCTTTTTCTTCCCTCAGAGCCTTCTAAAAGGCTGAATAGGAGCAAGGAGCTGGCCCAGCTGTAAAGTTTTGAGTGATGTTTTCTCCCCCACAAATCTTCCATCGCTGGGAAGCTGTTGTTAAACAATTCCATTGCCTGCAAAGTTGCCTTGGTCTTCAACAGGGACCTAGAATAAATGAGATAGGGATTGGAGTCCCCATGGAAGCAGCCTCTCCAGTGAGCGCTGGGGTGGCAGGGTAGTACCATGGGGTTATGGGGACCCGGGGACCACAGCCCAAGTGGCTGGGAAGGCTGAAAGGGGACACTTATTTCCAAGGTCAGAGGTAGGTCTTTGGGTACTGTCTGGCACTTTCGTAGCTGAGGAGAATGGGCAGGATTCCAGCTGAGGCTGGGCAACAGGCCAGAAGTCCTGGAGCCACAGGTAAATTATTACAGCTTTTATCATCTCTCAAAGCTCTTCTGGCACACAAAGGTCTGGATTTACATCTCATATAAAAAAAAAATGGCAAGTTATTTACGGCAGACACAGGGAATCCAGAACGAGTTTGGAACCTACCCAAGGAAAGAAATGCTCTTCTTCAGTCTGAAGAAGGGCTGTCTGGTCTCTCTTCCTCTGCATATGCTGTGTCAGGCTGTACAGGGCATACGGAGGAGGCTTCAGGGAGGCCAAGCCTCAGTGTTCAGACAGGTAGGGCTTCATTTGGAAGCCAGTTAAAACACCCTGTACAGGTGGTTCCTGAGACCCCCAGCCTGGGCCCTGGTGGGAGCCCAAGTCACTCATAGGCATGGCTGGGAAGGAGGAGAAACTGAGCCCTGACTCCACTCACCTTCTGCTACAAGAAGCATGCACTCCTGGGGCATGCACCAGAGGCAAGCCTAGGCAGTCAGGGTCCTTGGTAAAAATTTATAAAAACATAAACAAAAGTATAAATTAAAAAAAAAAAACCCAGGGAGCCAACCAAATGCATGACATACCGATGGTGTAAATCCAGGGAAAGCTGAAGGAAGACAGGATTTTATCAGCCTGCCTAGTGGTCTTTCTCAAAAATCTCCTAACATCCTTCTTGGGTGTGTGTGGTCTAATCTGAACTCAGGAGCACGGAGGTCCCCATGGGGTAGACTCAGAGGGACCTTCTCCTTTGGAGGACATATGTCCCTAGTTTTCTTTCTGTTGCTGTGATGAACACAATGACCAGAAGACGTACAGGGGAGGACAGGAAAGGGTTAACTTACTCCTCCAGCAAACTGAGGTCAGAACTCAAGGCATATGCATGAAGCAGAATCCACGTACAGCTTGGTTTCTATTCATATCACACACTTTTTTGCCTACCCACCCCCTTTTTAAAGTTATCTTAAAGTGGGTGGGGTAGAACACAAGTTATCTAGTAGTATGTTAGACTGATTTGCAAATATTTAAATATTTATATATATATATATATATATATATATATTTAAATAATTGTAAAAAAAATAAATCTTTTCGATTCTTACTCTTGACTCTCACAAAAATCAGGGGTAGGCCTGTGTCTGAAGAATGGTTTTCTATCATTGTTGTGTATTAGTCTACAAAACTTGTTCCAGTGTGGTATTTTCATAAGTACTTGGACCATGGTCGCTTCTCTATGAGGAACCCTTTCTCTACACCCTGCCTTCTCGTCCTTGAAGAACGTGTTCTATGCAAAGTTTGGACAAAGGTGACATGCAGACACCGGAGGTCATGAGCACTGTTTCCGGTCTCTTGCCGTTTCTCTTTGGCTTATTGCCAACATCTTTTACAATTTTGTCTTATCTTTCTTATTGACAAATATTGTATGTACCAACCGTTGGATCATGCAGGACTCTCTTCTGGGTGGACCGACTCTTCAGCTCTGTTCTCCTAGTAACCTGGTAGATAATGTGCTATGTGTCAACTGTGTTACCAAGCAACTAACGACTTAAGGGAAAAATGGCCCCAACTGGTAAAACACATCTGTACGGGGATGACTTGCAAACAAACACTAGTGCCCACCAGGGAATCACAGCTGGGAGCCTTTCTCGGTGTGCTAACTTTTCTAAGTGGGGAGATCTGTTTGGGAGCCTCTGGAAGCTAAGCCAACAAAATCATCAGAAGAGATTCTAGCCTCTGGGGTGTGAGGCCTGTATACCAGGCAGGTCCTGTACCTACCCAGTGTGTTCCTGTCTTATATCCCACTGAGTAGACCCATGCCAAACATGGACCATCTTAGTTTTATGCATATGCACACTTAGTTGAGCCTGACACCACCTCCCAGAGTGCACTGCAGATGTTTGGGTTAAACTTAACAGGTTCTGCATCATGCTGTGTCTGTGCTTACAGGGAGCACAATGCACTATGGGGCCCCTTGTCCATCTCTGTGAGAATAAGCTTTGCAAATAATGCTCACACATTCCATGATGCTTTATTTGTGATGGAGTACACTTATATGATAAAAGGACGCCCCCCCAAAAAACCCTACAGTCTTACTTTTTAGATCACAAGAATCCAATTGCTATAGAACCAACTCTAACTTTCTAATAAACTCAACAATAGGTAGCATAACCTAGATGAGATGAGTCAGTTTCGATGGAAGTGCTTCATGTTTTTTTGTTTTAAGCAACAGACAGTCCATTCATGTCATACTTGGTTGAGTAGCAGCTAAAGCTGAATGGAGCTGCCTCTCCTCCTGGGATTCCTTCCCGATGGAAGAGTCAGGTTCACCTAGGTGTCTTCCTCACTTGGAGTCTGTTCTGCATTGGGCATGCCACTTGGACTCTGCTGTGAACTGGGCATGTCACTTGGACTCTGCTGTGAACTGGGCATGTCACTTGGACTCTGCTGTGAACTGGGCATGTCACTTGGACTCTGCTGTGAACTTGGTATATCACTTGGACTCTGTTCTGTAGTTGAGGCTGAGTCTTCATACCGCTTTTGCTGAAGGGTCTCCATCTGGTGGTAGATGACGGCATTTCTATGGATCATAGTTTCCGTGTTCTTGTGAATGATCTCATGAGCTGCCAGAATGTGCTTCCGCTGGGCATTCCTCACTGGACCAAAGAGACAGAAAAAGGTTTTACTTTTCTGCTTGAAACCATTTCTCAGTGTTTTTAAGATAGGAGTAAAAAAAAAAAAAAAACCCCATTAACTTTCAAAACACACATTTTCTGCTTTGGGTTAACTGTACTCAATAAAAATGACCCATTATGTGTTTTAGAAGGACATTTTCTAAAAGTAACCCAGACTTGTTATCTTTTGAATTTGAAATGTTCTTCCACTGAAAACTTGGTCACCAGCTGTGGCACTATTGAGAAATAATTGGGTTATCAAGGTTCTAATTTTGCCAATGAGCTAATCCAAATGCCAAACCTAACCTTATAGAAGTTCGTTGACTGTATAGACTTTGGCTCTGGCTAATTTTGGTGTGTGATGTTTTTAATCATAAAAGGTTTTTTTAAAAAAAAATAATACAGTTTATATAACAAAGAATCTATTGAGTCACATTTGCATGGACCATTAGGAGGTGGGGCTTAGTAGAGGAAGTAGGTCATTGGAGGCATGCCTTTGATGGGTACATCTTGGCTCTGGACCATTCCTTTCTCATTCTCATGGTGGGGCCAGGGCATGAACATCTTTCCTCAGCTACACTTTTTGTGTCTTTCTTCTGCTTCGCCAAGGCCCAGAAACAACAGACCTACTGGGTGGAACATCCCAGACTATGAGCTTAGAAGGCGGTCCTAGGTGTGAATCCTATGGACATGTATTCCTCAGCTTTAATACAGGCATCGGCCAATGCTGAAGCCCTTGGGATGTTGATAATGATGGAGATGTTAGCAATCTCCACTTGTCCTTAATTTGTGCTAGAGAGTTTTAAACAGTTGACGCGTGATCACTCATTTAATTCAACCACAACCTTAAAAGAGAATGTTATTAGCAGTCTCATTTTTAGAAGGGTGTAGACACAAGGGAATTAATTAGATAATCTACCCCACACCACACAGCTAGCTAGTTAAGGACAGTAAGAAGTACCATAGGCTAGACATGGGGGCACATGCCTGTAATCCTAGTACTAAAGAGGCTAAGGCAAGAAGATTGCTAATTCAGGGCCAGCCTGGGCTATATAATGTATGAGACCCTTTCCCCAAGAGGAAAATTAAAAAGTACTAGGTATTCTTTGCTATTTGGGTATCAGTTACTTTGCACAGTACATGGTTGAAAATGCAGGGTTGGGGGGGGCTACATGGGTCATGAGTCAACCCTGCTAATTATTTGTTTCCAATCACTGATTTTCTTGGCTGAAAAATGAGAATGCACCTATAACTGTTGTAAGAGGTTAAGATACTGTGCAGTTTCTAACACTTAATGAACCTGACCTTGGCATGCACAGTAAGATAACTGGGCTGGGAGAGGGTTCAGCTGGTAAGAGTGCTTGCTGCTCTTCCAGAGGACCAGTTTGGTGCCTAGCAACCCACATCAGGCAGCCCCAGCCACCCATATCCTCCAGGGGATCTGATACATTCTTCTTGCTTCTGTACACACAGACAGACAGACAGACAGACACAGACACACACACACAGACACACACACACACACACACACACACACACACACACACACAGAAAGAGAGAGAGATAATCATAAATCTTTAAAAGAATAAGATAACTCCAAATGGCCTATGAATATATCTTAGTCTTGGGTAGAGAGTGTGTGTAAGACATATATGGTCCTCTTAGTTGAAAAGAGAAACAAAGCCAGGTGTGGTGGCGCACGCCTTTAATCCCAGCACTCAGGAGTCAGAGGCAGGCGGATCTCTGTGAGTTCAAGGCTAGTATGGTCTAGATAGAGAGTTCCAGGACAGCCAGAGCTACATAGTGAAACCCTGTCTCAAAAATAAATAAATAAATAAATAAACAAGAAATAAAAATTCCAAGTGTTCATTCTTTGCCTATATGTAGAGGGAAATGAACATAAAATATAAATAAATCAGTATTATATGAAAAGGCTGAGGACTCACCCAACCTACCCACTGACAATTCCCTCCGGGTTTCCCTACATTCAATAACCCTCTCCAAATCTTTCCCCTTAGGTCCAGAAAGAGAGTTGAGAAAGTTTTTTTTTAATCATTTCATCTTTAAAATTTTTATATGTATGTGTTATAGGTGGGTGCTCATGAATGCAGGTTCCCTCAAAGTCCAGAAGTGTCAGATCCCCCAGAGCTGGAGTTACAGGGGGATGTAAACCACCCAACATGGGTGCTGGGACCCATGGTTCCCAAGGGTTTCTGCTCCTGCTGCTGGGAGGGAATTACAAACTAATAAATGTTAAGCCCACTTTTTCCTTCCAACTCTTTCAATTCCCTCAGGGAAGGTGGCTCTGAAGAAGGCTTAATATTTACCATTAATTCTCAAGGATCTTGAACACATAGCAGCCCTTGTATACTATAATATCTATTACTTGGTCTGAATATTTAACTCTGTCGCTATGGACACTGTGATGCATGGTGGGAGCAAAGGCATCTTTTGTGTGGCCATTAGGTAGTTTTGTGAAAACATGAAACACACACATTCTGCTGTCCAACACTTACGCTGATGGGAATCTAAGGATCGTAGCCAAGATGTGTGTAAATACACTGATTGCGATAAAATAAGAAAGATACAAAAGACACTGTAAACAGACTAAAACCCGAGTGCTAGAGAGTACCTACCATTTTTGCTACCATGTGTAAGCAAAAATATCAACCTTCTTTGACCTAATGCATTAGAATCCCGCTAGCCCATTGTCCGTAATCAAGCAAATATTACGCTTTTCTGCTTCAGTCTCTCCAGAGGTTTCTACAAACTAAAGGCATGTGTGTGGTTGTTTTATGGTCTCGTCCTGATGACACCCCTCTCTGGGATCAGATCTGGCCCCAACAGTTTGAGGGTTCTGGAAGAATCTTTTTCTTCTTCTTTTTAAAATTTTGATTTTTATTATTTTAATTATGTATATGTAGGAGGGGGGATGTCCATATGAATGCAAGTCCCCACAGAGGTCAGACACATAGGTGTCAGGTCCCCCTGCCCCTGGGGTTACAGGAAGCTGTAAGCCACCTGATATGTGTACTGGGAATCAAACCCAGGTCCTCAGAAAGAGCAGTATGTGCCCTTAACCACTAACGAACCCATCTCTCTAGCCCCGATTCCTTTTCTTTTTAAGATGTATTCTTTCCTTTTCTATTGACTAAAAGCACCATTATTTTAAAACGTGCCGTTTTCGACAAAGGACAAATTGAAACTGTTATACTGAGATGTCACCCTAGCAGAAACACTATCAGTGACCCGGGGAACAGCAAAACTCCCTCAAACCCGTGCGGCACCCCTGCTTTTCAGCACCATCGTTTCTGCTCTGTGTCTGCAGAAGGCTGCAACTGTGGGTCACAGAATACAGCTCCCTGGGAACCTGGGAACTTCCGGTCAAAGACAGTGACGTTTGGCATTCTGCCAATCTGACTGGCGCGGATCCTGCCCCCTGCTGGAGGTGACTAGGTTCTGCAGCCAAGCTGCAGGAACGGAGAGTTGGTTACGTTCTGAAGCAAGAATCCACTGCTTCTTCAGAAACCCCACGCCTGTGTCTAGAATCCTACCCCTTACCTTTCTCTTTGACGAAGTCTTTCTGCACCTCTGGGATGAGAAAACTGTACACCAACTCGGCAACAATCTCCTCTGACTGAAGATACGTTCGACTAGAACACAACAACAAGGTCAAGCAACCGAGCAGACGAATAAAACACAAACCCCTGGTTTCTCTGCTCGGGCTGCTGATAGGTGCCGAGACCTGTGTGGCCTCCTAAGCGCAACTCTTAAATGCCACCTTTCCCTTGATTGGGTGATCTGAAAGAGCACATTCCTGACAAGCTCGTTTGGCTTCATGAAAAAAAATTAGAATTTGACCCTATCCAGCCTGCTATGAAGCATATGTTAAAAAAGTCAGCAAACGCTTGGAAGTCTAAAACACTTTGGGATTAAGTCCAAATAATGTCAAATACATATATATCTACTTTGTTTTTATGTTCTTGGTATTGTAATGATGTATAGGATGGAAATAAGCCAGGATAGAGGGAAACAAAGAGAATTCAATACCCAGTGCTCCTATCACAGAGAGGTATGGGCATGCAGCGCTCCAGTGAGTTATGCTAGCAAGACAATGGACACTAAAGCACGGCTTCTCTGTTGTGGTGGGGCCTGAAGTGTCTGAAAGTTTACACCTGGACAGCAAGGGGTATGTCGTCATCCGTTTCACGGTCTTTTCTCACGCCGCATACCGGTTTTCCATTTCGTAAGCAATGTCATTGATCTCCTCAGCGATCCTCTCAATTTCTGCTCTGGCCTGTTCTTCCGCAGTTTTCTCTTCGGTGTTCAATATGATGTCTTCCAGATAGGAGGTTACAGTACTTTGGTGAACCTTGATCAGCTGCCGAAATTAAACATATACTTAATTAATAATATATCTACTTAATATAGTGCTTAAGGACGTCTATTGTAAACAAGACAAAACCCACACTGTGGTGATATTTTATTTGTGCTGAAATGTGATATTTTATTTGTATGCTAATAAATAAAGTTTGCCTGGAGATCAGAGGTCATATAGTGAGCCATAAACAGAAGTCAGGCGGTGGTAGCCCATGCCCTTAATCCGATCACATGGCAGGCAGAGTCTCGGTGTGATCAAGGACACAGCCAAGCGTGGTGACACAAGCCTTTAATCCCAGTACCAACCAGAGAGACCTGGAGGTCTGTATAGACAGGCAGTGATGAGGAAGTCATGTGGCTGGGCTTAGAGCCAATGAGAAGGCAGAACAGGAAGGCAGTAAAAAGCACAGTTTAGACAGGAAGAAGTTCTTTCTGGGGAAGCGACGGCGAGGTGGTAAGCCAAGGCTAGCCGTGGCTCTCTGCTATTTCTCTCATCTCTTCGGCTATTACCCCTGTATTTGGCTCTGCGTTTCTTATGGAATAAGACTGTTTAGAAACTCGTCTACACCACACACACACACACACACACACACACACACACACATCATTGCTTGATGATCTCGTGGTTCATCCATTTCCTTCATTAAGTCATTAGTCTGTTTCTCATCCCTCTACCTATGCTTTCTGGGCAGCCCAGCCCAGTTAGCCCGTCTCACAACTGTGGGTCTTACTGGGATGTTGATAAAAAGTACCGCAAAACAGTGACGATCAATAGTCTCGTTTGGATCCTGGTTGTCCCTATCAGTCATGTGGCTTGGCCAAGCCACCTAAATGCAGCAGAGGCTAGGGGGTATTTCCCAATACCCTTTCTGTCTTTTATCTTAAATAACAGAATCTCTGGGTTGCAGCTAGGCAAACAGGTACCCAAGGACTACACTTCCTGGTTCCTGTAGGTTCTAGTCATGGCCACAATAACCAAGGTCCTACCAATAGAATAAGTGCTGAGCTGATAGGCCCAACTTCTCAAAAAGATTCTTACAAAGAAAGACTTTGCTTCCCCTTCCCCTTTTCCTTTTCTCTCTTTTTATGTTTTATTTCATGGACACGAAACCTGTGATGACAATTGTCACCTTAAGTTGCCACAAGGGGCCATATTAGAGACTGCAGAGCAGAAGGTGGAAGGACCCCAGGTCGCTGAAGGATTTACTGAATTGTCATAATGACCCTTAATTTCTTCTTGAAGATTTCTTGAAATCATGAGATAGAATCAGAGCACATAAAAATACAGTATGATGAATTAGGACAAAACCAGTATCCGTAGAGTTGCTGCTAGTGCCTAAGTAGGCCACCGGGTCCCTCCTGACCACGGCCTCTTTCTGCTTTCACGACGGTCCTAGTCAGCGCTTACTCGGCTTCAGAATTTTGCTAACTATGGAATCTCAGGCAAAACCAATTAGCTTTGGTTGTTTCATCCACATGCACACGCACATGCCCATGTATACACACCCAGGAAGTATCAAGAGCATCAACAATGACACGTTAAGCTTTGTATGTGTGTGTATGTCTCAACAAATTGTGAGTCTTGTGGAGGCAAAAACATTTTTATGTCTGAATTTTTCTTTGAATCTGAGATAATACCCAGGACTCAGCAACTATTCGGGACCTGTTTCTTAGAGGGCCCAGGAGCCCTCTTTATGTACCTTGAGCCCCAATGTCAACCTTTAGCCCCACACCTTCCTGATGTTAGCATCTTAATGGCAGTTCAGTACGTTATCAACCAAGACATGTTTGTGGAATGTCTAATATGTCCAGGGCCCATGTTGATGGTGCAGAAAGCACAATGTGAACACACGGCATGCTTGCTCTCATGAAGCTGAGCGTTTCTTCAGGAAGCAAGCTATAAAGACATCGAACATTAGATAGTTGGGTTATAAAGTAGAGGTGAGGGGCGTTCAATACTGCCCATGTATGTATGAGGACATAGGTGCTTGCACAAAGCAGTCCTTAAGGCAGGCCAAAAACATTGTTAACCCTTTGGTGTCCTTCCTAGATGTGACTGAAATTTCTGCCTTTTCCACTCGGCCGTTCCAAACTAAGCTTCAGCTAAATTCCTGATTGTACTTCTGACCTCTGACCCATCATTCTCTCCGCTTTCTACCTCCCAAAGGAGTAGCCACAGCTTCCAGTTGCACAAGCCATGGACTTGTCATCATTCTTGCTGTCTCCCTTTGGCAATTAATTCTGTAATTGTGCACATGTTCTATGTTATTTAAATTGCTAGGGAGCAGGGCTGTGCCTGTGCCTTCCCTCCAGAGCGCCCACAATATGCGGAGTGGAAACTCAGCGTACTTGCTAAATAAAATGGAGACAACACACAAATCCTGTTTTATGTCATGAGCTGTCCGTATGATTTCGGGAGACATCACAGTCTGAGATGTCTTTGGCTAAACCTGGCTCCCCCTGGGCCCCGGAGTCTAGGGGGTTTACCTACACCGGGCTGCCCCACTTGCCTCCATAAATATCTGGTCCTCTTGCTGCAGACGCCTTTGCTCCACCTGGCGCCGTCCGCTCTCCTCCGCCTCCCGCATGCGCCGCTGGCGCTCAGCCAGCATGGCGAAGGCGTGGATCCTCCGCTCCTCCTGCAGCCGCACCAGCTCTTTGGACAGAAAGTCAAGCATGTCTGCCAGCACCCTTCCTTCCAGGTCACCCAAATGGTTTTCAATGACCGACACCTTAAAAACAATACAGGCTTTAAGGATGAGCTCCGCCCAGAGCGGTGGCTATGAAGTGTCGGGTGCCTCAGAATGACCGAGCAAGGCGACTTCTTGTTAGAACAGCCTTAACCAGGAATGCCGTGCCCCAGCGGCCCCACCCCTGGGCACTTATTGGAAAATGTAATACAAACTCAGATCTGAGAAAGCAGATTGCCCAGTCAGTCGGTCCCCATGGTTCACAGCTCTTAAGTCATGAAGAGGATTTACTGACTCATTCTCTCAGTGACACACTCAATGTAATTTTTTTTTTCAATTTTATGCAGAAAGTCAGACATGAAGGAAAACAAGAAGATAACAGTGTATTCAACTTAATAAAATAGAAATTCACCCATGAGCACTTTTAATTTTTAAATGTCTGGTCTTCTACAAGCTTGAAGAGTTTTAAAACATCAAATAGCATGAAAGTGGAAAACCTTAGTACTTTGTAGACTTTTAATAGCTTCGAAGCTATTAACAATCATCTTTGAGACAGCACAGGATAGAGCTTAATTGTCGGTGTACCACTGGGGTACAATAAGGGGCCCGTGGAGTGCCCGGCCAGGAGCAAGCCGCACTGATGTATGGATATCCATGTCCTGGTTTTCACACAAGAAATGTGTTTAAGATGTGTTTCCCTGCCCTCTCCTGAGCATGAGGGAACGTCTCCCTTCTTCCCACCGACCACTCTGCTCGGCGCCCCCTCTGCTCTATGTCTAAAGCGAAGGAATAGTCTCAGGTCTCGGGGGGCAATGAGGTCACTGGCTGAGGCTGTCCGTCAAGGGCAGTTGTTAGACCAGCTCCCTCATCCCATCCTCACCCACACATACTTTCAAGTCCTGAAGTTCAAAGCTTTTTTGTTTTTGTTTTTGTTTTTTTGTTTGTTTTGTTTTGTTTTTTAAACAGAGCGCTGAAAAGGGGGCATATCTCTGCTCCTTCATCTATCAGCAGTGGATGCTCAGCCCAGAGAAGACGGGTTCTCTCCCTGTCGTCATGGACCCAAACGCTCTCACTTCCAGGGTAAGGGGCGGGTGCTAGCCTAAGCTCCACAGCTGCCTTTTCATGCCCAGCCTCAGTCCTTTGCCAGGAAACGCAGCCAGGAATGCTCCAATGCTCCGGTAAGGAGATGCAATTTGAAAGTAGACGTGTTTAGAAGGCATCACTGCTGCAGCCGCATCATTAACTCATCACAAAGCGGAGTTGTGTCTCCTGAACAGTTTCCCACGGAAATGGAACATGTGGAACACACCCTCCCCGAGACCCCTGCACTGGGTACCTTGATAGGACAAAGTTAAGTAGTCTTCGTAGGAGTGGCACGTTCCCAAGAGACCTTTCCACCTCGTTTAGCTGACGGCAATGTCTGCTTCACAGTTGGCTTAGCTCCATGTGCCTCCAAGGGCCAAGGAGAGCATTTTTCCCACCACGCCTCGGGACCTACTCTTTCCCTGGATTTCCACGCCCTGTCCGAACATCGCCAAGACTCCAGGACCACCAGACTCAGACACTCCACATTCTCCTCATCTTTCCTCAGCCCTCCTTTTAGGTGGCACAACTTGTGACTCTCCTACTGCCTGACCTCCGACCTTGCCCCCGCACCCCGAAGCCCACTGGGTATCAACGGCATCGCTGTCATATAAAAAAGTAAAGCTGGTCGGACGGCGATGGCGGCACACGCTTCAATCCCAGCACTCGGGAGGCAGAGGCAGGTGGATCTCTCTGAGTTTTAGGCCAACCTGGGCTACAGAGCGAGTTCCAGGACAGGCTCCAAAGCTACACAGAGAAACCCTGTCTCGAAAAACAAAGCAAAACAAACAAAAAGTAAAGCTGTCGTCATTCCCAAGTTGGTTATTATTTGTCCTCGATTCCCATATAGCACGAGAGTCGTGTGTTCACTAAAAGCTGGCAAACAATGTTGCCGCAAGTACCACGACTTTAAACTGTGCAAACTGATGCATTTTTAGGTTTGGTTTACGGACACCTGGGAACAGGAGTGAATGACTACAGTGGAGTCGGAAACACTTGAGATCAAGCGCGGAGGGATGAATGCTGGATGGGTGGGTGGGGGGTTGGCTGTCGTTCTTGTCAGATGGCAGAGCAGGAGAGCCTGGCAAAGTCACCAAAAGTCATGGCGAGACAGTGGCATATTTAATGGGTAGCTCAGCCCAGCAAGAGCAATTCACCCGTGGCTCCAAAATTCTGCAGTAAATGTTCATGCTTTAAAAGAAATCTCATATTGTACTGTTTTTCATGTTACTGTTGCTGTTATTATTATTCATTTAGCCATCGCGCTAACCCAGGTGTAAGGGAGTTCAGCAGCATTACTCAATGTTGAAGAACAATCGGAAGGGGAAATCTTGGGAAAAGTGACTTTGTTTGATTTGGTTTTGAGGTTTCTTTCTATTTTTTAAAACCGGAGCATCCTTTCGATTCAGCTAGGGCACACCTCACTCCTTGTGGGCTGCTGCAGAATGCGGTGTGCCGGGGCTGTGGAGGAATTTTAGAATCTTCTCATGGGACGTTATCACAGCGCTGCTCAGGACAGTAACCACTGAGGGGAAGGCGCAGCGAGTCACAGAGGGCACAAGGGACAGAACCTTGTTCTCATGCAGGTTCCTCTGCCGCTGCAGGGCCAGGGTCACTTGCTTCTCGGCTTTCTTCACTAGCTTCTCATCCTCCTGCAGGGCGTGGCTGGTGCGCAACTCCAGGATCAACTCCAGCCGCTTCTCCTTGCCCTCGAACATCTGCGCCAAAGCAAAAAGAAAAAAAAAGAAAGATTTGCCTGTTACCTTGTGCCAAGACTGCCAGGGCCACGCAGTGAGCTGGGAGGCACGTGTGAGCAGCAGGTTCTGTGCCCGCTGTTCACCAACGAGAACCACTCCCCCATGTGCCCTCTGTGGATGGGTGCAGGAGCGCGTGCATGGTGTGTGTGTGTGTGTGTGTGTGTGTGTGTGTGTCCGCGTGCGCGTTGCTCCACCTCCTACAGACATGGTAGCAACTACAGCAACCATCCTGGGCTACAGAGTGAGTTTCAGGAAAGGAGCAAAGCTACACAGAGAAACCCTGTCTCAAAAACAAACAACAACAAAACAGCTGGGGGTGGGTGGGTGGGTGGGTGGGTGGGTGGGTGGGTAGTGCCCGCCTTTAATCCCAGCACTCAGGAGGCAGAGCAAGGGGGATCTCTGTGAGTTCGAGGCCAGCCTGGGCTACAGATCGAGTTCCAGGACAGGCACCAAAACTACACAGAGAAACCCTGTCTCCAAAAACCAAAATAAAAAACAAAAACAAACCCAACACCTGCACTGTTCTAGGCCAGTTTGCTTTTCCGATGAACTAACCCCTTGGCTCGTAGCACACCATCTGCTCTCTGAAGGGAACTGCAAGACTGTCTGGATTAAGGCGAGGAGAGGGAAGCCCAGTGCTCAGCACAGGCGTTCACCCTGCCCTGCACAGCGGAGTCTCTCAAGAACTGAAGCCCTCAGGAGGGAAAACCCGAGAAAAAGGGCTTTCAAGTGGGTTTCCAAGTGAGGTGTGCCTGCTGCAGTGGCCGAGATCATCCGGCCAAAGCTTAAAGTCAGGACCAGCACGGGGCCTGCTGGTTGTTAAGGGAACATCCCTCGGACTCAAATTACTTCCCTCTAAAATGAGAGTTCTGGTAGGAAAAGAGAGAGAGAGAGAGAGAGAGAGAGAGAGAGAGAGAGAGAGAGAGGATACCCACAGGACATAACGAGGGCATATAGCTCAAAACTGTAACGACTTTGTGTTTGTAGCCCAGATATTGCCCACTCTATGCAAACACAAATTGTTTTAAGACATAATAGAAAATTAGGGAATCCTTCCTGGTTTGCAATGCTCTAACAGTCAAAATTCAGATAAGCAAAATCTGGGGAGTTAGCAATTTCTCAGAAGAAAAGAAGAGTTCGCATAGCCTGAGTTCCAACCGTGGCACAGGACGATGGGCAGGCGATTCCTCTCGTCTTGACCGTGTGTGGCCCAGAGGGACCAGGACGGCACTAGAAGGGAGAGGGAGTTAATTCCAGAGTACCAGGGACCAGGAGAGCGGGGTGTGGGAGGGGATTCGCCTGGGCAGACAGACAGACGCAGTCTCCACTGTTGGCTATGGCAGGAGGAACGCTGCCCAGGGGTCTGACCTACGCACCATGTTCTGCACAACTCTGCCCCGGAGTAACTTCTGCAAGTGGATCACAGCCATTTCTATGTCTCCGTCCTGCAGAGACAGAGGGAGAAGTGGGGTGAGGACAGCAGCGGCTCGGGCAGCAAACACTTTGGGGGACCGAGTTCAAGCCCGGGACTTCGGTAGATGCCGAAAGAATGGAACGAGGACTAAGGTGTGGGTCTGCTGTCGTCCAGCACACAGGGTCGTAGATATTACCTACCGTATCGTCAAAATTCATCACTTTAAGTATGAATAATGCATCATTACGAGAGTCTAAAAGAAAGAAATGATGGGACTGCCACGATAGCCACTCCCAACACCATCATTCTGAAGCCACAAGTGCCGCGAACGATGTCCTGTAACACCGGGATTTTCGTGGCTGCTCATGAGCGATGGAAGAAGTAGCTAGAGTTGGGTGCTTTTCAGGTGAGTCAGCCGAACTGGCAAAATCAGACTACAGTGGACAAGAGTCATCAGCTACAGAAATCAATGTATACAATAGTTCCGGTGCTAGGAGAGGGGAGGACCGTTTTCTTCAGGGATGTAACCCCCGCGAAGCTACCCGTGCTCCAATCCACCGCCCTGTGCCCGTGCACATACCAGACTCGGTGGCTTTAAAACAGAGCACACGCGAACTGGGAGGACATCATGGTGGAAAAATAAGGGAGGAATTAGAGCAGAGAGAACCGGAAGTCCTGATCAAACTACATTGTATGCATGTGTCGACTGGTGTGTCCAAAGCAGCGAAAATAAACCTGGAAATCTAATTAAGGCTGATCCACGTACAGGCAAGTACCAGGGCAACGGCGGAGGGTTACGAGTAACGAGAGGTGCGCACAGAGTCTGCAGAGGGAGCCTTTCTTGGCTCAGCTGTGGAGAGCAGTCCAGTCCGTCTGTTTTCAGGGTCCCCACCAAGGAAAGCGATAGGCCCTGGAGATCTCTCACCCACTTGCCGCCATCCTTCTCTGAGGAGGCACAGCAGCCATCTGAATGATCCTGTTGCCTTGGGCGTCAGTGCTGAGATTACAGGGGTGTGCCGCCATGCCAGGCTGTCTCCTTCTCTGTCTCCAATCCCCACAACCCCTCATCCCCTCCCTCCCTCCTCCTCCTCCTCCTCCTCCTCCTCCTCATTTTTTATAATATACATGGGGATTACCTTCTAATAGCTACTTTTTATCCTCTGTGTTTTTACTCTTGAAAAAACTGAAAAGTTTAGATTTCACATGGATTATATTTGTATGTGTTAGATGTTTGATACATACAAATTAAGAGGGAACTGGGGGTCTGGAGAGACTCAGAGGTTAAGAACACTGGTTGTTCTTCCAGAGGTCCTGAGTTCAATTCCTAGCACCCACATGGTGGCTCACAACCACCTGTTATGAGATCTGGCTCCCTCTTCTGGCCTGCAAACAGAACACTGTATACATAATAAGTAAATAATTTTTTTTTTTTTTAAAGAGGGAACTGGGGGTGTGTGTGTGAAGAGATGGGTTTCCATTTTCAACATCCACATGGCAGCTCACAACCATCTGTAACTCCAGTTCCAGAGCAATCCAGTGTCCTCAATGGCCTCCATGGTCAATGCATGCATGTCGTGCACAGACGTGTGCAGGCAAAATGCCCGTAGGCATAAAATTAAAAAAAAAAAGAATCCCAATAGAAATTTAAAAGAGAGGGAACTGATTTTAAATCGGAGCTTGAGACGCTAACACTACTAGCTCATACTCGTTTCCAACCCAAACTACCCTAAGTGTGAACTGACTGCAGTCCTGAACTCAGTGTGTCAAGTGAAAGTTTCCGACTTACCGAGGAACTCATCTCCAGCGTGGGGGTTGGGAGCCGAGTCTGCGGGAGGGGGTTCTTTTGCAGGAGTCGCAGGGGTTTCCTTCCTTCTAGGACTTTATTCTTCTTATCCAGTAGCGCCTGAAAGAAATGCCAGCCAATGTCATCTCTTATTTTTCCACCTTCCCCCAGTGCCAGATTTAGACTGTAGATCTGGATATCAATCTGGATCCCTATGCTTAGATTCAAGGTTAGCTGAGAAAGTTCTGCCTGGGGTGCATGTATTCCCCACCGTGTGCTATGATATTGCTAAGAATATATTAACCTGGGTGCTGGAGAGATGGCTCTGTGGTTAAGAGGACCTGGGTTCAATTCCCAGCACTCACATGACAGCTCACAACTGTCTGTAACTCCAAGATCTGACATCTCTTTCTGTTTCTTTGTTTGAATTTTTTGTATATTTTATGTATATGAGTGTTCTATTTGCATGAATGACCGCATGATAGATCCCATTATAGGTAGTTGTGAGCCACCATCTGGTTGCTGAGAATTGAACTCAGGACCTCTGGAAGAGCAGCCAGTGCTCTTAACCGCTGAGCCGTCTCTCCAGCCAAGATCTGACATCTCATACAGACATACATGCAGGCAAAACACCAATGCATATAAAAAAAAATAAATTAGAATACATTAACCACTGAATAAATGTGGCATCTATTTTTAAATAGACTTAATTAATTTTATGTTATGAGTATGTGTTTATACGTGTGTGTGTGTGCGCGCGCGCGCGTGTGTGTGCAGAAGCCTTCACAGATCAGAAGTGGAAGTCAGATCCCTCACACCTGGAGTTACGGTGATTGTGAGCACCATGTAGGTGCTGGGAACTGAACCCTGGTCCTTGGCAAACCAAACCTGGGTCCTTTCCAAGAGCAGTGAGCTCTCTTAATTGCTGAGCTGTCTCTTCAGCCCCTACCTATTTTTGTAGCAATTTCCATCAGAGATCTGTGGGATTTTTAAAAAAGGTTCTGTCCTGTGTGCACACATGTGTAAGTCCAAGCTTCTGCTTTCACACATCACTAATTTATTGTGTTTAAATAAATATCAAAAGCCAGGAGATTCTCCTCTGTAGGGAGTGGTTAAATGTTTAGTATGTTTTGCTGTTGCAGATGAGCTGGAGAACATTGAACAGCTTCTGTCTCTAAGCGGAGAGGGACCTTCCCTTTGGCCTGGAGTGTGAATTTTAAAATATTAACTCATTTTCTGGTGGTAGAACGTGTGTTCTGTATTTTTACATGTTTCCCCTTTTTGTATCACCAAAACCCCTATCAAAATTATACATAAGGTTTAGTTCAGCAATTCCATTTTAGCCACGGGGAAATACTTTAAATTTAAAAGTACCAAAAGTTCTCCTGTTGTGATTTACATCCTATACCTTAGTTCATTTTTGTCGTAAAATCATTTTTACAGGATGTTTTTCATAAAAACACAGGCAAGTAATGTTTAAACACACACACACACACACACACACACACACACACACACACACACACAAAACACTAAAAGTTGAAACTAGTGAAATTTCACAAAGCATAAGTGAAATTTAGCATCTCCTAACTGCAATAGGTAAAAAAATCTGGCTTTGTCCAAAACAAAACTCTCAGCAATTGACGTCAATTGCCGTGGGCAGATATTAACATGCAGACAGCTGGGGAACTCAGAGAGCAGAGCCCTGGGCCATACCACATGAAATCACAAAACCACATCAAAGCCAGCTATTCAGGACTAAAGGTTGGTAAGGATGTGGGAAAATGGGCATTTATATGTACAGCAGAAACAGATATTTATATAAGAAAATTTGGCAATATTCATCAAAATGATAAATGCACACTGTTGTGGAATAATCTTTTTGTAATACTTTTTGTGAAGATGCGTCTTTGCTCATGGCACCTTTGGATTGGTTTAATAAAGAGCTAAATGGCCAATAGCTAGGCAGGAGGTACAGGCAGGACTTCCAGGCAGAGAGAGGACTCTGGCAAGAAGAGAGGTAGAGAAGCCAGCCAGACGCGGAATGAGAGGGACACACAGCATGGGATAGAGGTGAAAGCCATGTGGTAGAACATAGATTAATAAAAATATGGGTTGATTTATAAGAGCTAGTTAGGAACAGGCCTAAGCTATAGGCTGAGCCTTCATAATTAATAATAAGTCTCTGTGTGTCATTATTTGTGAGCTGGTGGCCCAAAGAGAAGTCTGTACAGCGTATAGCAATTTTGTGTCTAAGAACATCAGATGTGTTCACACATCTACCAAATGGTGCAGGCAGGAATCACCGAAGCTTTGGGTTCAGTGTTAAAAGATCTACAAACAGCCTAGATATCTACTTACTAGTAAGGGGGCTGATTCCATATTTTGACCACATACAACAATCCATCTTTAAAGTGTTAAAAATGGTAAGTCATATAGATAGATATCCAAGACACCAAGTTTAAAAAACCAAAACCAAAAACAAGAGCAGACATATTTTATAACTTTTTTCTTTTTCTTTTTCTTTTTCTTTTCTTTCTTCCTTCCTTCCTTCCTTCCTTCCTTTCTTTCTTTTCTTTTTTCTTTTTTGTTTTTTTGAGACAAGGTTTCTCCATATAGTTTTGATGCCTGTCCTGGATCTCACTCTGTAGCCCAGGCTGGCCTCAAACTCACAAGGATCCACCTGGCTCTGCCTCCTAAGTGCTGGGATTAAAGGCATGAGCCACTGCTGCCCTGCCCTTTTATAACTTCTATAAGGAAGTTTTATGTATTTATAACTTCTATAAGGATGTTCAGGGCTGGGGCTGAGCTCGGTGATAGATGTTAGTGGCATGCTTGAGGCCTGAGTTCAACCTCCAGAAAAAAAAAAAAAACTTTAAAAGATGCCTATACAGGGCTGGGGAAGTGGCTCAGTCAGTGACGTCCTTGCTGAGCAAGTACGAGGACCCTCTTCTGACTTCTAAGAATCTATTTAGGCAGGCAAACACAGCCGTGTGTGCCTGTAAGCCTAACCCTGGGGAGGCAGAGACAGGAGGATGCCTGGGCTTAGGTTCGGTGAAGGACACTATCTCAAAACTCAACAAGGTGGTGAGCAACGGAGAAAGATACCCAACATCTACCTTGCACATGCACACACACACACACACACACACACACACACATACACACACACCACACTCCAGTGAGACTGGGCGTGGCGGATCATTCCTGCAATCTCAGTGCTTGGGAGGCTGAAGTCAGAGAGTCATGAGGCCCACGCTAGCCTGAGCCACACAGGGAAACTTTATCTCACTACAGATATATGTAAAAAATTGTTTGTTTAGTGTGAGTGTGTGAGTGTGCACGTGTGCACGTGTATGTGCAGATCAGATGACAACTTTCAGGAGTTGGCTCTCTGCTTCCCCCCTGTGGGTCTTGGGCATTGGACTTGGGTCAGATCGGGTAGTAAGTGCCTTTACTTGCTGAGCCAACTCATCTGTCCCCCTACATGTGCTTCTCCAACTTAAATTTTGACCAAGAATGGCCTGAAAATACACTGTAGCAATTATTTCAGGCCATTCTGGGCATTTCTCCTCCATGGTTCCTCTGGCACAGCTCACAAAGAACCTTTGAAAGACAGTTCATCACCCCTCCCTCATATAATCCTGGATTCTCCAAATAGTTTAGCCTTGGGAAGATGCTTCCCTGACAACCTGATGTTGACGAGTCTCTTGAACCCGATATTCCAAACCAGGAAGCTCCGTGTAAATGCACCTCACTCCAAACCCAAGAGGAAAAACAGAAACAAGGATACCACAATACCGCAACACTTCCAATACCTGCAGATCCATCAGACAGGAAACACGGTCCAGCTCCTCCCAGCAGGATTAATAGAAGGCTACAATGGGACCTACTTTTTTAGTTCTTATTATCTGGTGCCAGATGTTAGGCTGTCACTAAATGGTAGCCAGATTTTAGGCTATATCCTAGAAAGTATACTAAAAAAGCAAGAAAGGACACGGTCTATCTAAATGGACAAACCAATGAGACTCACGCATGCACATGTTGGAATCATCAGAGATTTACAAATAGCTCAGATTCATTTGCTGAGGAAACTGACGTGGGAAATAGACAACTCACAAGGACAGAAAAGCAATGCAAAGAGGGATGAAAACGTTAAAACAGAACCACAATGCATAGTTAGAAGAGCAAAATGCAGTAACAGAATGGAGAACGCCTTTAATAGGCTCTAAACCAACTTAACACAGCCAAAGAATCGAATAACTTGAAAGTGTTCAACGAAAGTATCCCGGTGTGAATTGTAATAAGAAAACAGAACAGAACAGAACATCTAGGAATTGAGAGATAAGAGCAAAACGCATCACAAATGTTATACCAGAGCCTAAGAAAAGAGTGGAGGAGCTGGGCAATCCTTGACAGGGCTCACTGAAGCTCCGGGTGGTTCAATTCCAGCACTACGCAGAAGCAGCAGTGTGGCTCACAGGAGGTAGAGACAGGAAGATCTGCCGTTTAAACTCATCCTCAGCGACACAGTGAGTCTGAGGCCAGCCTGGGCTACGTGGGCCCTGTCTGAAAAAGGAAAGGAAGATGAAAAAAAGGGAGGAAGAGGAGAGGAGAGGAGAGCAAAGAGGGAAAAAGAGAGGGAGGGAGGGAGGGAGGGAGGGAGGGAGGGGAGGGAGGAACAAAAGAAATATTTCAAGCAGTACTGGCTGAAACTTTCCAGAATTATTCTAAAGACCCTGCTAAGGATCTAGGAAACTTAAGGAACACCAAACAAGATAAACACCTCAAATAAAGACAAAAGTGCATACATAGCCTCCTTAAATTGAAGAAAGCCCCAAACAGAGAAGCCCCTGGACGACACCGGAGGATGTGGGAAATACCACCTTTCCTCCAACGACGATGAGATGACCGCAGATGTCCATCTAGAAGTTGCAGTCGATAAGATGGTGAAGGGGAGACAAAGACTGAGGGTGGAGTTCTGTACAGGGCAAGATGAGATTCAGGCCGGAAACTTGGCCGAGGAGTTAAGACCATGTGCTGTTCTTGGCAGAGGACCGGAGTTTGATTCCCAGCACCCACGTTAGGTGGCTCACAACCACCTGCACCTCCAGCTCCAGGGTGTCTATCACCCTCTTCTGGCCACTTGGGCACCTACATTGATGCACACATACACACACATACAAACCACACCATACACTCTTAAAACAATAAGATAAATTTCTTTTAAAAGTGAAAAGACTAGCCGGGTGGTGGTGGCACACGCCTTTAATCCCAGCACTCGGGAGGCAGAGGCAGGTGGATCTCTGTGAGTTCGAGGCCAGCCTGGACTACAGAGTGAGTTCCAGGAAAGACGCAAAGCTACACTGAGAAACCCTGTCTTGAAAAACCAAAAAACAAAACAAAACAAAAACAAAAACAAAACAAACAAACAAACAAAAACCAGAAGTCTACAGTATGAATAGTAGAAAGAATGAAATGTTTATCAGCTTAAGAGTGGAGAAGTAGAATGTAGCATATCCACACAATGGAATATTATGCAGTCATAAAAAAAAGAATGAGGACCTGGAACTGTGCTAGATATGAGTGGACCTCGAGAACACGAGGCTAGACGAATGGAGCTAGTCAAGAGATGCTGTTTACTGTGGGACTCTCTTTGTACGGTACATTCGGAGCAGACACTTCCTTAAAGAGAAAGTAGAACAGAGATGGCCAGGGAATGAGAGAGAAGGACTGGAAGTGACCGCTAAGGGGTATGGGGTTTGTTCCTCAGGGATGACTGAACTGTGAAGTTCAGACACAACCTTGTGGACGCGCTAACAGCCACTGAACTGTACACTTTAAAGGGTGGACTTCACTGTGCGTGAATTTTTACCTGCCTCGCTCAGCTGAAAGCAGAGGAGAAAGACCATGGACACAAACCAACCCTGGAGCCCACTGCTAGCAGACCACGCCTGAAACGATCAAACTCTTAAGGCAGGAAAACATGGCAGGTGTCAGAGACTGATACATCTATGAAGATAGGGCGTGTGGCAGAGAGGGAACGAACAAAGGTAAGACAAATATAAAATCTTTTGTTCTTCCTTAATTTTTAAAATATTCAGTGTCATCGTGGTGTGTACGTGTGTGTGTGTGTGTGTGTGTGTGTGTGTGTGTGTGTGTTCACGCGCGCGCATGCACGCGCACATGAGCCATGTATACATGTGGCGGTCAGAGGACTACTTTGTGGAATCAGTTCTCTCCTTCAGCCTTTCTGAGGATTGAACTCGGGCTGCCAAGATTCCTCAGCAAGAACCTTCACCTGCTGAGCCATCTCCTGGGTCCCAGTTTTTGTTGTTGTTGTTTGTTTGTGTTTTCTTTTTCATCAATCAAAGAGAAAACCTTTTTTGTTTGTTTGTTTGGTTTTTTTTTTGGTTTTTCGAGACAGGGTTTCTCTGTGTAGCTTTGCGCCTTTCCTGGGACTCACTTGGTAGCCCAGGCTGGCCTCGAACTCACAGAGATCCGCCTGGCTCTGCCTCCCGAGTGCTGGGATTAAAGGCGTGCGCCACCAACGCCCGGCGGGTGTTTGTTTGTTTTTTTAAGCAAAAAAGGTAAAAATGTGGCAAGTGTGCTGACATACACCTATAATCCCTGAACTCGGAAAGCGGAGGCAGGAGAATCAGGAGTTCAAGTTCTCCCTCAGCTACACAGTTATTCAAGGCCTACCTGGGCTGCGTGAGCCTCATATCAAAGAAATCAAGAGAGTGAAATTGTGTGTTTAAAGCACAGTGCCAGTGAGCTGAATGACAGTTATGTCCCAGGGATGGAGGGGGCCTTGGAAACAATCTGTCCCACACGTCGGAGCGGCACAGTATAGAACAGATGTTATCTGAAGATGGGCATGTATCAATTTATAAGTATGACGACATTCTAGTCTCTCCCTCCTTTCCCTGGCCTTCTCCTCGCTCTCTGCCTCACCCTCTTAGCACCACTGAGGACAAGCAGGGCCTGTCCATGCTGGATGTTATGAGCCCTGACTCACGCCTTCAGCCCCAAAGCCTCACTAACTTCAAAGTGTTGGTACCAAAGTGACTCTGGACTCTAACCACAGTGCCCTTAAGCTAGAAGCTCACCAGAAACTGAGTTAAAATTCCTACATATTGGGAAATTTTATAACACATTGAAAACAGGATCAGAGACACATTGGATACCTTTGGATACTAGAAATTAAGAATGGCAGACATCACATATCAAAACTAATGAGATGTAGGGAAAAAAACCAGTGTTTTGAAGGGAAATGTTAGTTTAAATACTTATATAAATTGATGAATTATTGAAATTGATAATCTACACATTCAATTCTCTGAGTATAGGAAAATCACAGAACAACTCAAAGAGAAAGAAATATAATAAATACAAGAGGAGAAAGTGGGGTAAATACCTATCTAAACCTGAGAATTCATTATTTGGAAAAATAGTTCTGAGGAAATGAGTCGCATTCCAGTGAAAAAGATTAAGAAAAAAGAGTTAAGATATAAACAATGTTATGAATGAAAAATGGACATGGTTATATATAAAACAAAATATTATAAAAGCAATATGAGCAGTGATCGCGTCAAAAAGTTGAACAGATGAAATGAGATTCTAGATAATATAATTCACCACAATGATGCAAAGGAGATGTACATTCTGTCAAGAGATCGAAGCCCAGGTCAAGTTCTTTTCCATGAAGATACCACTTCTACATCCTTCCACACTGAAGGGACAGATCGTCTCCGTCTTGTTTAAATTCTTCTCAGAGGAGAAGGAAGAAGGGAGGACGTCCCCAGGTCACTTCAGGGGACCTGTTCAATTCTGGTGCCACACGTGGACAAGTTGGAAGGAAGACTAAGGGAGCCATCTCACCCGCCAGCAGAGAAGCACAGCGTTAAACCAGATCCAACAATGTGTTAAAATGAGCGATGTATCTTGATCAAAGCAAGGTCAGCCATTGATGCAGGACAGATTAGGATATGCAAAACATTGCTCTGAAAACATCGTTGAGTATCGCATAAAGTAACGTAAGCACATGATCAAAAGCTTGAGCAAATCAGGAGGGAAAGAGAGTTTCCGTAACACAATACAAAGTACGGGGAAGAAATTCTCACAGAAAATGAGACTGGTGAGCACAGGGTTCGGGAAAGGCGAACGTAGATGGAGGCACAGTAGGGAAAGAAGTATATGCAATCATTATCCAGGTCCTAAACTCTTTCAAAGTGCATGTGAGTGTGTTCACATGTGTTTGTGTTCTTATGTGTATGGGTAGGTATATGTGCATGCTCATGTGTGTGGAAATCAGAGGTCAAACTTAGGTGTTGTTCCTCGAGAGGTTCCTCCTTGGTTTTTTTCATGATCTCTCAATGGGACCTGGAGCTTGCTGATTATACCAGGCCAGTTGGCCAATGAGCGCCAGGGATGCCGGGTCTGTTTTCTCAGTAATGGGATTATAACTACTCGTGACCACACCCAGCTTTCTTACCTGGGTGCTGGGGGTTGAACTCTGGTTCTCATGCTTGCCCAGCAAGTTCTTTACAGACTGAGCCATCCTCCCAGTCCTCAAGGTCCTATTTTTTTCCCTGTTGAGTTTGGATTCCCATAGATTGTTATGTGGTCCAGGAATCAGTGGAGCAAGTGAAGGTCTGTGGACAGGAGGATGTCATAAACCTGGGATTCCAAAGTGCGGCTCCTGGGCCCTACAGCAACAGCAAAGCATCACCTGGAGACTTGTGAAGATCACCCATCTCCACAGCCTCGCCCAGATCTACTGAGCAGAAACTCTTGGAGGAGGGGGGCAGCTGTTGAGAGGATCCTACAGCCTAGCAGCACATTTTAACAAGCCCTCCGTGGGATTCTGATGCTAACATTTGATGGCCATCAAACTTTCTTGCTTAGTTGACTTTTAAACTAGATGGAAAAGAAATGAGTCACATTTCTTCTTCATGGTACCCTCACAGCAAACATAAAAGGAAGAAAACAGAACCTGGTAGGGCTCTTAACAAAGTAATTCCTAATACTAGAACTTGCTAACCTTCATGGTTTCAGATTTTACCCTATATACAGCCCAAGTGGAAACCCTTTTAGAAAGTAAGAACTTCGGGGCTGGAGAGATGGCTCAGAGGTTAAGAACACTGGCTGCTCTTCCAGAGGTCCTGAGTTCAATTCCCAGCAACCACATGGTGACTCACAACCACCTGTAATGAAGTCTAGTGCCCTCTTCTGGCATACAGGCATACATGCAGGCAGAACACTGTATACATAATAAATAAATAAATCTTTAAAAAAAAAAAAAAAAAAAAAAAGAAAGTAAGAACTTCTGGATAGAGGAAGGTGACCCCTGGAAAGGCCTGTCACAGTTTGAAGTGGAGGTGGACTTGCACATTAGATCAGGACATCGCGGGGGACCTCTGAGAGAGGAAGTCTAGAGAGGAGAAAAAATACAAGTTGTGTTTCTGATGCATAGTCACTGCTGCCCATGATGATAGGCATTTCAGGGTGCAGCGTTCCTCTGCAGAAGTTGGAGTGAGTGGAAACGTCTGGTCTTCAGAGTCCCACTATACCTTGTGAACCTCTGCCAGCTCATAGTCCATCCGCGCGGTCCTCTTCAGAAAGCCAGCCTTGGTGGTAATGACTCTGGGCTTTGGAGCTTTGAATCTTGGTTGTGTCACAAAATCGGGGAGACATGATTCAAGTTCCATTAACCCTGCGGGAGGAAGCATGGGGTGTTAGTGTCCAGTGCTTACATTTAATGTGCTGAGAGTGTCCCATGAGGTCTGGGAGCTTTGCAAGGTGCCGTCTCTTGAGAGGATGAACTATTTCTAAGGTGTGAAGTTTGTGGAGTTAGCGTCTGTTCTCAGTGACTTGGATGGTACAGTGAGAAACCATTCTAAAAGAAAAATGTGTCCTATAGAAAGTGTAACCCGTCGCCAGCAGCAAGTCTATACAGCTTTATGAGAGATGGTGCTCCCATTCTAGAGTGGGTGTTCACCAACCCATGGTATTTTGCTCTGGAGACACCAGCCAGGGCTCTAGGTTCAAGAGTTTGACTTCTAACTGGTGATCTTGGCCAGATGGTGTGTCGGCTTGTAAGCTGAACTTATAAAAATGTAAACAAGTCTCTTGGGCTTCATAAGAGGCACAGAGTTCTTCATGAATTGACTATCTGGCGACTCTGCCCCGTCTTCTAGATTTTTGACATATTTAATTTCATTATAAATACCTTGTTTGTTTTATAAATCTGGTGTAAAGGTTTATTTTTAAATAAAAAAATATTTTAAAACTTGATTGCTGGCATTTCTTTTAGGTAGAAATCTTGCTAAGAAAGAAAATCTTGCTAAGAAAGTCTGCCTGTCTCCAGCTCTGAGGGGTTGGAACCACAGACATTTGCTTCTACCCCTAGCTACCATGTTCGGGGGCTAACTGAATTTGTTCTTTGTTAAATCATTCTACAGGGCTTTTCTCTTCGTTGAGTCTGAGTTTTTATTGCCTCCTCTGAAGCTGTGTTGACAAGCAGATGAAGCCTGTTTGTTGGTGCTTTTCAAAGTATTCTATTGTTTACCTCCATAGGTTTGTTTACCTTCATAGGTGTTGAGATAGTGGTTTCTGACAACAAAGTCCTCCGAGTTGTTGTCTGGGAAACGGCCAAGGCGAGACAAAGGTCCGTAGACCTGAGAAGCAAAATCGGAATATTCTCTAATGATGTCTCTCCTCTTCAGCTTCCCTTCTATATTCCTTCCTCTTCCTGCAAGTTTCCTCAGGGCTGAAATACAAAGCACTGTCACGATTCTCTCCCAGATACTGCCCTGAATTAGAAATGCCGAAGACTAAAGCAACTCTAGGTTGATTCACCAGGAGGATATGGAGCTGACGGAATTTTACCATGGCCCAGGATGGCCAGAATGCAGCGGTAGAAGCAGGTCTGCCACCTGTGTGGCTCGGACAGGCAGGGGTGGCAGAAGCTTAATCAGCAGCTAGTGTCCTCAAGGTGGAGTCACACGATGCACATGCACCACACACACACACACACACACACACACACACACACACACACACACATCCCTTTGATGACGGCAAGCTCTGGGCTAAGGAGAAGCAGTCAATAGAAGTTAAAGTAACTGAAAGCAACCCAGAGTAAATAGAAAATAAATGTTAAGGGGACTGCTAGATCAGCCCATCTCTTAGCAGAGGGGGCATTGCAGAGTCATGCTGGCTAACGTTAGGGTTTCAGAAGGTGTCCTGGCTCAGAGCTTTCAGCCTGTCTTGGTGGGTGGAGGGAGAAGGTGCGTTTGTGCAAATCCAAACACTCATCTGGGGAGTCTCACGCTCATACTCATATGCTCTTCCTTCACGTCTCCCCATAGAGCCATCCCCTTCCCCTGCTCTCCCTAGGCCACTGCTAACAGGGAAGCCCTGTTACAAGAGTGAGGGGTTATATGAGGAGGGCCCAGGGCCGCTGCTGCCTTGCACCTGTTACCTGCTTCTTACGGTTCATCCGTGGGGCTTTTTATGTGACTTGGAGTGCTAGAATTTGTAAAATAGTTCGCATTCGACTATTTATCTATAAACGTATGCAAGTCCATCACTAACTATGTCATGTATTGAAAAAAAAAAATGTCAACATCTAAACACATGGCCACACCTAATTTTTCACAGGGGTGCTGGGGATCCGAACTCATGTCTTTGTGTTCGCACAGCAAGTGTGCTTAGTCACTGAGCCATCTCCTCGGCTGCTCACGTGGTCATTCTTAATCTCGCCCTGAACAAATAATAAAGTGAATATTTCTTGGTTTTGTGCACAAAATGAAAATGTATAATTAGTGGATATAGAAGCATAAATATATCTGCGGCATTAAAATTTTCTTGGTGAGAAGCAGTTAGGAAGAAGGAAGACTAAAATATCTTAGGGGGCAAGGATTAAAAAAAAAAAAAAAAAACAGTTCATCGCTGGGCGGTGGTGGTGCATGCCTATAATCCCAGCACTAGAGCCAGGCGGAACTCTGTGAGTTCGAGGCCAGCCTGGTCTACAGAGCGAGATCTAGGACAGGTACCAAAACTACATAGAGAAACTCTGTCTTGAAAAAACAAACAAACAAAAACAAAACAAACAAAAAAACCAGTCAATCAATAGCTGTTCTAAGCAGAGACTTGGGCTACGAATGTAGGAAACCTTATATCAACACTGGCATATGTGCGTGTGCCATACTCAACTACTTGTTAGAACACGGTCACCTGACTTTCTTAGCGATTGTCCAATGCCCGCCTTTCAAAAGTAACTCCTCTCTCTCCCTTGCCTACGTGAGCCACTAGGACCAACTCAGAACCCCGTCATAGCTCAGTAAGCCTCGGTCCAAGCCCCAAGCCCCACCCCGGCCGGCTCGCGCCACGCATTACTTGACACGTGTGTGCGCTGGATCTGCGCCACTCTGGCCTCCTTCGCCTCCTGCAGTTTACACCACTGGGCGTTCAGGTGCCTCAGGTCCACCTCGTTCTGGTTCTCCTCACGCCTCTTCAGCAGCTGCTTCAGAACCTCCAGTCGCAGCTCCTGCAGTCTGGGGGTGGGTTGTAGAGTAATTACGGTCTCGAACCGGGAGGTCTAGTGGAGAGCCACAGCAGGCCCTTCCCGTGAGCATCCTATCCAGGTGCTTTAGAAAGACCACTGTGGCCAAAATGGGACACGTGAGTTGAAACCCAGGGGAGGACACTCCCGCAGCGGATCTATCTCTACGTAGTGGGAGCGTGGGGAAGGACGCGCGTGCATGCGCGCCGTCCGGAAGACGTGCATGTGCACAGTCGGGAAGACGAAAAGCACACAAAGAGCAGAGCAGGCTGATGGGGTGAGAGACTGGCTCTCTAAGCAGCTGAACCTACAGAACAAGAGATTTGTCGACGGTTCTAGGCTAAGAGTTAAGAGAGGGAGTTAAGAAGGAAGCTGGGGTGGCAAGCGATCTTGAGACAGGGCTGGTCCCCCCACATAGCGGGAACTCCGCCACTGACCTTTTAAAATCTGTGTTCCCTGCTCATGTGTTCTCTGTCTGCCTTGCTTGCATATCCAACCCCATGCAGGTGATGGTGAAGTCTGTGCCCCAGCTACTTCAGAACCTACTTAGACCCCCTGTTGTCTCCGCTGATCTCAAAACAAACCAAAGAACAAACCCGGCTCATTCCAGTCTACCCCTGCCTCCCGCATGCCTCCCCTCTGCCGATCTTTCCACTTCTAGAAGCTTCTTGCTCCATTCCACCCCTCTCTCCTAACCTGCCCTCCCAGCTGATGGTCTCCCTCCTTCCAGTCTCTGCTCCAAAAGGCTGTCAAGCTTTTCCTGGTCCAAACTGAGCTCTGCAAACGTCTCACTCCCACTTGGAAATCCATTCACTTAATTGCGCACTCATCTGTCCGGTGTTTATGAGGTGCCCACGGGGTGCCAGGTAGGAGGACAACGACAGACAGACAAGACACACTCCTGGCAGACAGGCTCACAAGCCAACCCTACCACACAAGATCAGTTCCAGGCCTTGAGAGGGACAAGCAGGGGAGACGTGGGGGAGGAAAGCTGGAGTGGGGTCTGCCACACTGAGAAAGGGGAGGTCCAGCCTCAACCAGGGAGCTGAACCGGTTCAAAAGGCCCTGGGGAGCCTGGAGTGGTATGCACACCAGCATGTGGAAGGCTGAGCAGGAGGACACAAGTTCAAAGCCAGCCTGGACTACATAGGGAAATTCCATCTCAGAAAAGGCCGAGGGCAGAGAGAGGATAGGCGTGTCTCAGACCTTCTCTAGGTGCAAACAGTGGAGGAGGGTGGAGCCAGGTGGTACATGCTTTTGGAGAGGCAGATGCTTTTAACACAAAGCCACCCGGCCACAGTCTCCCTGCTTCCTAGAGTGAAGGATATATAATCACAGGCTACACAACGAATTGGGGCCAACAGTGGGTCTTATATACTGGGTCCCATAACATTGTAAGGAAGCTGAACAATTCACATCACCTAGTGATGGTGTGCGTAGTCACTGAGATGCCACAGCTGAACACATTGTTGCCATTTATGGTGATGCTGCTGTAAACAGACGTCCTGGGCAGCCAGCCCCGTGAAAGCACAGCAAATAGAATAATGTACAGCACTTGATAACGGTTAACCACCCACTAGCAGGCTGACAGATTTACTCTGCTTGTTTATTGTTATTTTAATAAATTAATTAATTTAGAGACAGGGCCTCATGTAGCCCGGGATGACCTCAGACGCATTATGCCATCACAGGTGGTCTCGAACTCCTGATCCTCCCTGCCTCAGCCTGCTGACTGCTGACATTGCAGGCCTAAACCTCCAGGCCAGGCTTTTATTATTATTTTTACTGTGTTATTTGGAAAGTTTATTGCAAGACTTTATGCCATGTTATGCTGGCGGCAAGCCTCGTACACCTCCTACATATCACGTCTTCAATCACATCGAAGGGCCGCACCGAGTGACCAATAACTGCCCAGGTTGACGAAGTGCGCGCTGAGATTCACGAGCAATGGGCTCACTTAGCAGCACATCTCTCAGAACACATCCCACTGGGAAGCAGGCAGTGGCTGCACCAGGCGGTACCAGAGTCACCTCTCCATTTTCCTCTTACTTTCGGTTTCTTCCGTTGCAAAATGGAGATAATAGTACCTCCCCCACGAGGTTGTTGTGGGCATTAAATGAGTAAGTGCCCGCCAGCTTCTCACGCTTAAGTGTGAAACACAACTATCTGGGAGGTTTGCTCCGGTGTGGACTGATGAGTCTAACCCCCTGATTGAGTAGGCTTGGGATGAGCCTTCTGATTGGTTTAATAAAGAACTGAATGGCCAATAGCTGCGCAGGAGAGGCTAGGCAGGATTTCCAGGCGAGAGAGGAAGAGGAGGAGGAATCTAGGCACAGATTTTGCCACAGACTCTGAAGACGTCAGACATACGGTACAGAACGGAGGTAACCAAGCCACGTGGTAGAATGTAGATTACAAAGGACAGGTTAATTGAAGCTATAAGAGCTAGTGAGAGGAAGCCTAAGCTAAGGCTAGGCTTTCATAATTAATATCAAGTGTCTGAGTCTCTATGGGGAGCTGGAGGTCCCACAAAAGATAGACTGACAACAAAGTCTGCCACACCCTTCCTCTTCTTCATCACCGACATTAACGGCTTCTTGCTCTTCCGACAGCATTCTCAGATGCCTCCTCTCCCAAGTCTCCCGTCTCTAAGAGCTCTTCCCTCGGCTGGGTTCCGCTAGCATTAGCACACAGCCCAGCACATTGCCTGGTGCCTGCCTAGGGGAGGGGGACAGACTCCTACCTCATCCTCTGGCCCCTCTTCACCCTCAGCCCCAACATGCCACAAGCAGCTCCACCGGGGCCCAGAAACCATGCATTTACCCGGCTTCACCATCTCATAGGGCAGAGCCCCTGCACACGGGGGTGGGGGGTGGGGGAGGTGGTACTTGAAGCACGTCTATTAAAATTGGACTCAGTTTTAAATTGCCTTCTGAGGTGATCGATCACCCTGGCCAGAAATATTCTAAACATGCGCCTTCTTACAAGATACATTCCTCTCCAAAGACCAACAACCAATTTCGATGTCTACAGACCACAGAGTACGCTGAGTACGCCTGCCACACATACTGTCTTCCAATGAATTGTCGGCTTTGTCCAAAACCTCACATAGTCTCGATTCAGGCTCAATCAAAGAGGAATTGGAAGAAAAGATTCAGCAATAGACCGAGTCCTCTCTTGGCCCTTCTCTTGTATGTTAGGGGCTTTGATAGTGCTGCTATGGAGCAGCACAGGCCTCAGAATAAACTGAAACAGCTTGCCAGCCTCAGCAGGGGCCTTCCCTGCATGCTTGGTAAGGAGTCTCGGTTCCTCATAGTTTCTCATCATTTGGAGACATCAACAACAACCTCATCGCCAAAACCACATCGGGAGAATGTGCTCAAAGCACATTATACACGTGTTGAAATGGCCTTATGTAATAGAACAACTATCACCGTCATCTTCAATGGCAGCAGTGCTACCATAGGATAAAATGATTGAGAACTGAAGAAGTTCCTAGACGTCATGTCACTGATGCGCGTCGTCACACAAGCTCTTCTCTTCACGGACAAAGTCTCCACAACTTGCCTTTCCAGTGGGAAGGTGCTTCATCAGCTCCAGCTAGAACCGGGGCGTCCTATGAAACCTTGGAGGGTGGGAATGAGAGGGCCGTCTAGAGGGCTGTTTGGAGGGACGCAGAGGGCCTTGCTGCCGAGGTGCGGTGGTTCCGGGAATGAACCGAGGAGGAGATCTCTAAGATGCTTTGCAGAAATCGCTGGGACTCTGGGACAGACAGGAAAAGTCGTGGAGCAGTTGTCCAGCTCTGGGTTTCATGTTGAACGTCACAGACGGAGCGAGGGCAGTACACCTCTTCATGGCCAGTGTGAAAATGACACAGAGCCTGAGCGCCACGCCACGAGTGGGTGACTGCTCCCATAAGCACTGGAAGCCCCATTTCCTGTCTGTGCAGGTTGAGGATTATTTTTAAACAGGTATTTGGGGGAACTGCTTCCAGGATAAAAATAAATAAATAAATAAGTCAAGTAGCCAACCAGCACTTGGGAGGCAGAGGCAGACAGATCTCCAGGTTCAAGGACAGCCTGGTCTACAGAGCGGGATCCAAGTCAGCCAGGGCTATGCAGAGAAACCTTGTCTCAAAAAAACCAAAATAATAATAATAGTAATAATAATAATGATAGTAAAAATAATGATGATGATAATGATAACAATAATAATAATATAATAAAGTGTAGAACATTTCTCTCACCAATGTCCAGGAGCCAGAGAACCTACTTTTCAATCTCTCCCTCTCTGAAGGCCCACTCCTTCCTCTCCATGGAGTTCATCATCTTCCTCCTCTTCTCAATCTGGAAGCTGTCATTGAGTGGGGGCAGAGTGGCTTCCCACGCACGCTTCTCCCGGGCCCGTTCTATCATCTCCACCTCGGCTTGTCCCGCTGGGAGACCTCGGCCTGCAGAGGAGGGTGGGTGTCACAGCTCAGGAACATGGGGCACACCCACAAGCCACCACTGTCTGCCTTCCTCCTGCCCTGCTCTGAATCCCAGGGTTAGGCTCCAGCATGACGTCACTGGGAAAGGCTCCTGGGGGTACCTCAAAACGTGTGTGACCTGTGCCTTCCGCGCCTCCTCTTACTGAGGCAGAAGTTGTTTGGTTGTTGAACATTATCTTAAGATGTGTTGCTTTTGTTTATGCTGTGGAACATTTGTTTAATGGTGCAAAGATGTGTTGCATTCTTTTTTTTTTTTTTTTTTTTGGTTTTTCGAGACAGGGTTTCTCTGTGTAGCTTTGCACCTTTTTCTGGAACTCACTTGGTAGCCCAGGCTGGCCTCGAACTCACAGAGATCCACCTGCCTCTGCCTCCCGAGTGCTGGGATTAAAGGCATGCACCACCACCGCCCGGCTATGTGTTGCATTCTTTTATGTTGCATTTGTTTAACTCTGTGAAGCTGTGTTACTGTGCCTGTCTAAAACACAGGTCTAATAAAGAGCTGAACGGCCAATAGGTAGGCAGGAGAAAGAATAGGCAGGGCTGGTAGGCAGAGAGAATAAATAGGAGGAGAAATTTGGGAAGAAAAGATCAAGGAACGAGAAAAGGAGGAGAGGACTCAAGGGGCCAGCTACCCAGCTACACAACCAGCAATGGAGTAAGAAAGAATGAAAGGTATAGAGAATAGAGAAAGGTAAAAGCCCAGAGGCAAAAGGTAGACGGGATAATTTAAGAAAAGCTGGCTAGAAAAAAAGCCAAGCTAATGTCGGGCATTTATAAGTAATAATAAGGCTCTGTGTGTGTTTACTTGGGAGCTGGGTGGGGTGCCCCCAGAGAGCGAAAGGGCTAAGAGCAAAAGACAAGCAGCAATAGTGCTTGGATTGCACACGTTCAAGGAAAGCACTGGGGGAATGGTCCATGCCCACAAATGATCAGACCTTACAATGTCCCGTACAACAAGTCCATGTTGTAAAATGCAGAGGGGGCTGGGGAGATGGCTCAGTGGTTAGGAGCACTGGCTGATCTTCTAAAGGATACAGGTTCAGTTCTCAGCATCCACCTCAAAACCAGCTGTAACTCCAGTTCCAGGGGGTCTGGCACCTCTGCGGGCACTGTACACACGTGGTGCACAGTCATATATGCAGGCAAAACACCCACATATTTAAAGTAAAACTACATAAAATTTCTAGAAAACGTTAAATGCAGAGAAGAAAATAGATCAGAGATCGGGAATTTGTTAGATGAAAGTTAAAAAGACACATACTTTTTAAAAAGAACAGATGAAGAAATGACCATTAGCTGATACGATTCCTTGCATTTTGTCCCCTATCGTGAATATACGGCCTAGGACTGTGCCTCACCTCCACCTTTAAGAGTTCAAATACCGATGGAGCCATGGTTATAGCTCCTAAGCAGCTCAGAAACACAAGCCAAGACCTAGCTCAACCTAGCCTTCTCCGGCATAGGTTTTGGGGACCCAGCTGCACATTCGAAGGCTTAGCAGATCTAAACACAGCTGTGACTTGGTACATTACCTTCATAGGATCAAAAACTACCGAAGGAAATAGGTGTCAAGTGAGTTTCCTGTTTAATATTTTTTCCATTTTAAAAATAATTATCCAGAAAAGTCTAAAGAAAAAATATGTTTCTACCACATACAATGAGTTACTTCTTAATTTTCTGTTCTATTTCTTCCAAGTCTCGTTTACTCATCAGTGGAAATACTGTCAATTCATTTAATGTATGAAGAAACATATACATTTAAAGAAATGAGTGGGGCCTGGAAAGAAGGCTCAGCAGTTAGGAGTACACGCTGTTCTTGCAGAGGACCAGAGTCTGGGTCCCAGCACCCAAATCAGGCAGCTCACAACAGCCTGTAACCCCAGGTCCAAGGGACCCAATGCTCTCTTTTGGCTCCACAGGCCCCTGCACTTACCACTCACATGCACACACCCTCCCCCATGCCCTCCCATAACTGCATAATTATCATTTTTAATCTAAGCAAAATATGTTCTTAGAAGAAAAGGTAACAGCTTAAAAAGAAATGGATAATCCATGTTTAATATATATATAAAATATACACATATATGGTATTTTTGTAGGATTTTATTTAGTAATTTAAACAAAAAGTATGAAAATGCCATATTCATACTAGGCAGCCGTATTATATATCAAATATCTTTGCCTTTCATAATGAAAGAATTTAAAAATAAAGTTAAATATTCTTTTAATCACCATAAGGAGGCCTGTTCTCCTCTTTCCTCTCCCAAGAAAAACACAGAAGGAATTTAGAGTATTCTTCCCAACCTTGGCGTTCTGTGAATCTGTGGAGGTTTATGTGTCTATGACTTATGATAAGTTACACTTTTTTGTTTTGTTTCCAGGCAGGATTTCTCTGTGTAGCCCTGGCTGTCCTGGAACTCACCTCTGTAGCCCAGACTGGCCTCGAACTCACAGAGATCCACCTACCTCTGCCTCCTGAGTGCTGGTATTAAAGGTGTGTGCCACCACAGCCTGGTGATAAATTACACTTTTAATCATTTACAATATAGCAAGAACTGTTCAAATTTATTTACTCTTCAATAAACCTCTATCACAGAAATATAATGACTTCTATTTTGCAAATAAAGAAACCAAGGGGCTAAAAGGTGAAGTGAGTCGCCTGAAGTGGAGGTTGGGGTCAAGGGCAGCAGTCTATTTTGTGTTCTTATGATTGACCTTTATTCCCCTGATAGGGCAGCAATCAGAGACCAGATTTGATTCAGAGATGAAACAAAAAGAACTACATGAAAACAGATGAACTGATTTTAAAAATAGTCACATACAAAGCATGATCCATGTGTTAGTCTAGGCTTGCTCTTAGCCGAAGGCTGAAAGCCATTACACATGTATTATTCTGAAACTTGTCTTTACCCAGCTCCATGGTGAGGGCACTTGACTGCACTCACAGAGAGATCTAGGACTCCATCCGGTTTAAGTGCGCATCTCTGGTGGACACCTAGATTGTCTACATCTGTGCCCAGTGTGAGCTCAGCCCTGCTCAGGTCTCACTGTGCCCAGTGTGAGCTCAGCCCTGCTCTGTCTCACTGTGTGTGACCAATGTGAGCTCACCCCTGCTCTGTCTCACTGTGCCCAGTGTGAGCTCAGCCCTGCTCTGTCTCACTGTGTGTGACCAGTGTGAGCTCAGCCCTGCTCTGTCTCACTGTGTGTGCCCAGTGTGAGCTCACCCCTGCTCTGTCTCACTGTGTGTGCCCAGTGTGAGCTCACCCCTGCTCTCTCTCACTGTGTGTGCCCAGTGTGAGCTCAGCCCTGCTCTGTCTCACTGTGTGTGACCAATGTGAGCTCAGCCCTGCTCTGTCTCACTGTGTGTGACCAGTGTGAGCTCAGCCCTGCTCTGTCTCACTGTGTGTGACCAGTGTGAACTCACCCCTGCTCTGTCTCACTGTGCCCAGTGTGAGCTCAGCCCTGCTCTGTCTCACTGTGTGTGGCCAGTGTGAGCTCACCCCTGCTCTGTCTCACTGTGTGTGACCAGTGTGAGCTCAGCCCTGTTCTGTTTCACTGTGTGTGCCCAGTGTGAGCTCAGCCCTGCTCTGTCTCACTGTGTGTGGCCAGTGTGAGCTCACCCCTGCTCTGTCTCACTGTGTGTGACCAGTGTGAACTCACCCCTGCTCTGTCTCACTGTGCCCAGTGTGAGCTTCTCTAGGATTCTTAGAAGAAATGCTCCAATCTGGAAGCTAGAACATAAAATAGGATTGGTTTAATCCTGGAAACTGCTCAATCTACCCTCCGGGGTATTCCTGCTGGGTCCACTCTCTCCCAAAGGGCCTGTAGTCAACCTCAGTTGCCCCCTGCAGGCTTTACGGATACAGAGAGCTAACTTACACAGGGCCAGTTAGAGTAGGAGCAGGGATTTCAGTCAGAGTTACCTGAAGGTATAGCTCACTAAGGAAGAAAATCATATCCGTTTGAGCATGAGTTTCCCACTTACAAGCGTGCTCTACTTCTGCCTTAATCACACTTCTATAGGCCTAAAGGACCATTTTTAATTTTCTCTATAAAGTCTTGGCATGTCTAGTCATTAAGTGATAAAGCACGTTATTATTTGTTACAGTTATGCTGTGACCTTTCCCAAGAACTTTTCTGATTACATGCTGCTCATGCCGTGACGTTACTGGTCTTTTTTGCACATTGATTTCATGGTCAGCTCTCTTGCGGATCATTCTTTTTAGTTCTGATATTTAGTGAGTTGTTTTGAGACAGGGTCTCACTATGTAACACTGGCTAACCTGGAACTCACAGAGGTCCACTTATCTCTGCTTTTTTGAGTGCTGAGATTAAAGGTGTGCACTGCCTCAGTGGCCTTTTATTAGGTTTTTTTTTTAATGTGTCACATTTTATTTTATGGGCATGGGTATCGTTTTGCCTTCATGTGTGACTATGCACCACGTGCATGTGTGGCCAGAAGAGGGTGTCCTATTCCCTGAAACTGAAGGTACAGATGATTGTGAGGTACCATGCAGGTCCTGGGGGTTGAACCCAGGTCCTTTGGAAGATCAGTGTTCTTAACCACTGAGCCATCATCCCAGACCCTTATTAAGGTTTTGAATGAACACTGTCTGCAAATAAAAATAGTTTTGCTGCTGCTGGATGACCCTTATCCCATTTTTTCTTCTACCTTGTTGCATTCTGGAACCCACCTTTGTTTTTCAATAAATCTCTGGCCACTTGTTTTCTTTTGAGAAATGTCTATTCGGGCTCCTTGCCCATTTTTTAAATAAGGTTATGTTTTCTTGCCGTTGAATAGTTTGCAGTCCTTGTATAGTCTGAAGACGCAGACCAGTCCCTCCCTAATATTTTACATGCAAATATTTTCTCCCAATACTTGAGTTATCACTTCACTGCATAAACCAGAACTGCCTGAATATGCGTCATTCCCAGGAACTCAGTATCATGGACTGCAATATTCAGTGACAATTACCAACTCACCCCAAGTCAGGCTAGCCAGGGTCAAGAGCTCAGGAATAGTGTCTTGACACACGACATATTCCGGAGTGTACGGATCTGTTTGCACATCCGAATCCCGGTAATCGGTCTGAGTGCCCACAGTAGACTTTGAAGGGATGATGGCATACTTGGAAGATTCGGGAGAAAAAACAAATGGTTCTAGCCTAGGAGGGTAAAATTAAAGGTGGAAACTCAACGTGAACATCTAAAATACTACAGAACCAGGTAAAAACAAGTCTCTGAGCTTCATTAAGCCCATCCCCCCTATAAATGCTCACAGGCACAAGGTGTCCAGTATGACTAAGCGTGCCCCACAATTCTTAGAGAATAACCTGGTTGGCAGTGAGTGGACAGAAACACCTGGATCACCTCCGCCGTTGTGTGGGATACAGCTAGAGATGGCTTTCGGGTGGGGGTCTTGTATCCACACTCAGGACCTGTCCAGCATGGCTACCATCCCTGCTTCATCTCTGCTCTTAGGTGTATCCCGACTTACCTGTTTCCCTATAGACACGCAGGGGAGAGAATGCGCATGGAGGGAAGCGAGCCCTAGAAGCCACTTGCCTTTGTGGACGGTGACTCCTGAATGAAGGCTGGAGTAACAGGGTGAGCGTGTGCAACGAACGGTTAGCAAAGGCCTTCCGGAAAAGGCAACTCCGGATTTTTGTTTCGACACTGCCAAAATGTGACTGCAAAAGTGTGTGTGTGTGTGTGTGTGTGTGTGTGTGTGTGTGTGTGTGTGTGTGTGTGTGTGTTAGAGAGCATAAGGAGAGCCCAGTGGGTAAAGGAGCATGCCAACAAGCTTGATGACCTGAGTTTGGTCTCTGGAACTCACATGATGGAAGGGCAGAACTGATTCCCACATGTTGTCCAGTGTCACATGTGTGCTCACACACCCACATAAAAACACCACCACCCCCACCGGGCGGCAGTGGCACATGCCTTCAATCCCAGCACTCGGGAGGCAGAGCCAGGCGGATCTCTGAGTTCAAGGCCAGCCTGGTCTACAGGACAAGATCCAGGACAGGCACCAAAACTACACAGAGAAACCCTGTCTCGAAACAAAACAAAACAAAACAAAAACAAAAACAAAGAAAAAAAACAAAATAAATAGGTAAAAGTGTTTTTCTTTTGTTTTGTTAGCATCCATAGCCAGGTATGGTGGCACACACCTGTAATCCAGGACTAGGGAGATAGAGACATAATGTGTTGGAGGCCAAATCTGGCTATATAACAAGAAGCTGTCTCAAAAAAAAATGCACAAGTAAAAATATTGATATTGGGGTCAGGAAGGTGGCTGGGGGGTAAGAGTGTTCGCTGGGCAAGCCTGATAACCTGAGTGTGATGCCTGGAGCCCACAGCACGGGCATGCGTTTGAAACCCCAGCACTCCTAGTGGAAGATAAGAGACAGAGAAAGGAGCAGCAGGGAGCTCCAGGGCCAGCTGGCCTGCAACTCACTGCACAGAGACCCTCCCTCGGGTAGCCTGGAACACACTGCACACAGACCCTCCCTCGGGTAGCCTGGAACACACACACTGCACACAGACCCTCCCTTGGGTAGCCTGGAACACACACACTGCACACAGACCCTCCCTTGGGTAGCCTGGGACACACTGCACAGAGACCCTCCCTCAACAAGAGAGAATGAGAGCCCGACTCTCAGGAGTTGTCCTCATACATCCACAGACAGGCATGGCACACGTGTGCCCACACTCACACCCATACATAGACAGAGAAACAGACAGATAAGTGGATGTTAAACTTTAAAAAAAGGTCTGAAAATTGTACCATCCTTGAGTAAAGGCCTTTTAATGCATGGCTTGCAAAAGGAATAAGGGGTGAGCTCAAACTTCCAGACTTGGAATATCATAGTTTTAAAATATAAATAGCAAACTTGAAAATAGGATGTGCAATATTTATGATAAAATGTTAGATATCCTGTCTATATAAGAAGCCCCTAGAAATCAATAAGACAATTGACAGTTCCACAGAAAAATAAGTTAGGGGCGACCACAAATCAGAAAGGAGAACATCTAACAGATGCATGAAGAGATAATGCACCCAACAGAAAGCAGAGGAAGGTGAAGTGGATCCTGTTGATGCAACTTCCTCATACATAAAGGTTTAAAGGATGGAGAGGGTCCAGCTTCACAAGTTAGAAGGAAACAGATTCCAACAAAAATGGTTAGTTTATTTGTTTTGGATTTTTGCTTTGGATTTTTTTTTTTTTTTGAGACAAGGTCTCATATAGCCCAGGTTGGCCTTGAATTTATGGCAATCTTTCTGCCTCAACCTCCAGAGTGATGATGATTAATACGAGTTTGAGGCCAGTCTTAGTCCTGAGCTGGGGTTCATAGCATGGGGCAGCCTGAGCTACATTGCCTTAAGAAACTATCTGTCTAAAATGTAAAAATGCATACATATATTTAATGGAATTTATGCAGCTATTCAAATAGTAATCTAATACTGTTTATAGCTTCTTCTGTTTTCATCAAAAATTATTCTATTAACTTCTATTTCAGAAATAACTGGATACCAGTATTATACCATCCCAGAGTATATGGAAGTTTATACAAAGGCAACCCCCAAACGCCATGATTCATTGAAAATGAGAAGGCATTCCCACTACTAAATGGTATAAACAGTAAGGTTACTTTTTGATGTTTTCTTTCTTTTTCCGCCACTCCCTATGGGCCTGGGGGCGCCATTTGTTATTCAAACCTTCACTCCACCTTCTGGCTCCCAAAGGCTTGTGGCCATAACATAATGCAGAATGCATTTAGTCCAATTCAAAAGTCCCCATAGTCTGTAACAGTCTCAAACTTGTTTAAAGGGCCCAAAGTCTCTTCTGAGACTCATGAAATTTTTTTCTTTTCTTTTTTTTTTAACAGTGCTCAGAGTGCTGTTTTCTATTTTTTTCCCACTCTTTTTTTTTAAATTCATTTTACATACCAACCACAGATCCCCTTCTCATCCCTCCTCCCGCTCCGCCTCCCCACCTTCCCCACCCCTCTCATTTTTATATAATAGTGCCTATCTGTAATCCTGGCACTCAGAAGGCTGAGGCAGGAGATTCATGAGTTCAAGGACACCCAGAGCTATGTGTCAAAACTCTTAAATAGGGAAAATGGGGATGTAGCTCAGCGATAGTGCTTTCCTAGCATGCCCAAGTGTCTTTATGTTATCCCAATCACAAGAGAGTTACAACCACACATCTGAACTATCTGAGCCAATGTGGTTAGAGTTTGATAAGGCTGCCTCAGTTCTTTGGAGGACAGTTCCTGATGCCTAGGCTGTTCTTAGGAGAGTCCAGGAAAGGGATGAAAAAGAGGAAGTCTTCTCAGACAGAACACCTGTAGTAACTTCCTGTGCAATTTCCTTGCTGATTTTCTTCAAACTATGGTCTCCCGCCATTTCGGTGGGCTTTAGGGGAAGGTAAAACAAGAGCGGCCTCTTCCTACCTCTTCCTCAGCCTTGACCAGGACTCAGACCGCCCTCCCCCCAACTCCTCGTGGCTCCCCGGTTGGCCCTTTCTGTGTCCTGGCTGGTCCTCAGGGTTGGATGCTCTGGTGTTGGAATCTTAAGAGTAGCCGCTGCTGTGGCTATTTCCTGTCCTGCACTTCTCCTGTACCAGTTCCAGGCGACAAGAGCTGACGCTGCTGTAGCCAACGCAGGCGAGAGGGACAGTGTTTGTAGACACAGTTTTGCCCTGAAACTAATGCCATTAGTTCCTTGCACTGTGCTCTCAATGTGTCTCGCTCCTTTATGTGAAATAAACCTTTGTACACCAACAAGTGTGTATTCCAGGGAAGCAAAAGAGGACGTGTGTGTGTGTGTGTGTGTGTGTGTGTGATGAAAAACTTAATTCCAGTTTTGATGGTACTCAAAGGTGGAGTCTCTTGGGAAGTGTAAGCCTTCATGGATGGGTTGGAATCTTATCCTTGTGCTAGAGTTAATGACTTAGGGCCCTTTGTCCTCCTGCTTCTCAGTATGTGTGAACATAGCCCTTCCCCCTTTCACCATATGAAGACACAGCAGAGAGCTCTCAGCAGACACTCAATGCTGGTTCTCCGGTCTTAGACTTCCTAGCCTCCAAAAACATGAGAAATGAATCTCCATTACTTATAAATCACTCACTCCTTAGTTTATGACAATTGGTTACGGCAGCACAGATAACTCATTATCAGAAACATATTTTATGTCATAACCATTAGATCCATATAGACAATGGCCATTCATCTTTATTAAACAGAGGGTATAGAAAACAGCAGCCTGTGTCTGATGCTTGGCTATTTCTGTTCTTTTGAAGTGTTACCTGTGACCCACTAGAAAAGTCATAGCACAATATTGCTCAGACCTTTGCACCCAGAAAGTCACCGGCGGGACCAGGAAGGCTCCTGTCTGTGGCGGTCAGTGGCTCATAGGTTGCAAAGTATTGATCTAGAGAACTGTCTTCCTGAAGTAAACAAGAAGTGAATGATGAGGCAAGAGAGTTTTGAAATAAAGTCACTTACTTGGATGTTGCTAAGACAACATTGAGCGGCATCTGTTGAAGAAATGGAAGGAAGGGCCTGGGAGGAAAGGGGGGAACACATGTGAGAGTTTCATACTGGCTCAAGCTTTCTTCTTACTTTAATATTTCTTCCCTAAAAAAATCAATGAGTTTGACTAAACTGAAAAGAAGTTAGCAATATTCCAAGTTTTGTGTATATGAAACCACTGGAGATGTTCTTATCTAAAATGCAAATTCCCAGATCGGACCCGGAGATCCAGGCAGTATCCGGTGCAGCTGGGAACTCTGCATCCTCAGTCTGCATGCTGCCATCTCCTCCACAGCCACGCATTCAGAAACATGTCTGCACTTGGGCCTCAAGTACCTATCAGCCTCCAGCAACTTCTCAAGTTCTTGAGACCTTCTGAAATGACCAAGGCCTTCGTTTGAAGCCTCCCCCTCCTCCCAAGAGCCTAAGAATTTGCATCTATTTTAGATAAGAAATTAAATTTCTCAAAAAAAAAAAACCCAACCAGTCAGTATCGGAACATCTCCATCAGGAAATGTTTATATATGATACTGTGGATCAGGAATTCACCTTTGAAAGGAAGCTTATTCAGATGTGGTATCAAGATTATTTCCCAACCCAAGATTGGCAAGGCTATCCTCATTTTCGATCAGTCCACCTTGAGTATATGACTGTCACAGGAGTAGGAGTTACAAATGAAATAAAGAAAATCTTTTGACTGGGTTTGAGCAGCATTCACAAGTATTGTCCATTTGGACACATTTAGCAATTTCTCCTACACTGTGATTTCGAAATATATGTTATATTTGACTTCGTTTGATGACTATGTTTTGTTAGCAACTATACATCCTTGGTTGCCATGGGTAACTCATATGTCCTCCCTTTATGTCTATTGTGAAGATTAGATAACATTCAAGTAAAGAACTGAATGTGATGGCTGGCGGGTTGCACCCACCTCAGAATGGAAAGGCTGCCACCACCCTAAGGACGGCCCCTAATAGCCTCCGGCTCTAACATTTATTACCCTTTGCTTTCTACCTGTCAAAGAATTTGTAGCGATTCCTTCCAGAAACTTCTGGATCTTTGTACTCTTCCTTGGGCATCTGGAAAGAAGCATCCATCCTAAAATGAAGCAGAGAAATATATTCATCGTCTCTACATGTCGTGTGTCTGGGTGTTGTGACAGAGAGTGCACTTAGCTGTCCGTCTTAGACCAGACAGAAATATTGGGTCTGGTAAGAGGAAAAAAATCAGAGTTGGGAAATAAGTAAATTTATAAAATCCCAAATACAAAAGTAGTCACTTTTAATGCAAATAGCAGAGTTTCGGAGACTAATTCTGTGCCCTGTCTGGGACACATTATTATTTATTAGCTTACCATGACTTACTTGCAAGTCATTTACATAATCAAGATTTCAATAGATTTATTTTTGAAGGTGCTTTAGTTGTAAGTCTCAAAAACAAAAAACAAGAAAAAAAAAAAAACAACCATAGTTTAGGTTCCATCAGAAAAGATGACTTGTAATTTCTGAAGTGAGCCAAAGGAACAAGAGACTGGACCATCCATGTCTTTGATGGCGAGCTGTTTTTAACATACCATAAACACACATGCCAACCTTCTGAGGACTTTTAACCATGTATAAATGTTGTTTAATTGTAAATATATTTACATACATATTTATATAAACATAAACATTTGTAAATAAATACATAAACATAAAATAATATACCCATATATGGTTAGTAATATGTATTAATTATCATATAAACATATATCTTATCATTTATTTATTTAATATATGTATATGTTTTATAAATAGTTATAAAATTAATATATAATAATAATATATGGTTAATAAATATAACATTTATATGGATAAAATGTATGGCTTTTGCTTCTTAACCAGCCCTGTTTTAGAAAGAGGGATTTACATCACAGCTAGAAGTTTTCAAATCATGCAGAGTAATTACAATTTCTAAAAATAACAATATGTTCATTAAAAACCTGCATCTGCTTTGGAGCAGGACTCCCTGGTACTTACGCAGCATGGAGCCAGAGGACGTCTCTGTGTTTGGCTTCTTGTCCCCTCCATTCTCGATTGATAAATGATGGGACGGGATCTGACTTGCTCCAGTACATAGAACATCGTGGATAATGAAACAGGTTACTGAACATGGACCTAAAGTTGGGAACTTTTCTCTAATGTTAGGAAAGCGAGGCAGAGAGGAAAAGGTCAAAATTTTATGGTCAGCTTTTCTAATACAACTTAATTATGTCCTAAGTTTTTTCAGAAGTACAGAACGATGTATCTAGCATGAGAGGAGAAGTTACTTGTACTTGCACAGACTATCTCTAAGAGGATGCTCAAAAAGCTGGCGACAATAGTTATGTGGCGGATGCAGGGACTATATTATTCTGTACTGTGCATGCTTTACCACTACTTAAATTTTATTTTATTTTTTTATTTTTTGGTTTTTTTTGAGACAGGGTTTGTCTGTGTAGCTTTGCGCCTTTCCTGAAACTCACTCTGTAGACCAAGCTGGCCTCGAACTCACAGAGATCCACCTGCCTCTGCCTCCTGAATGCTGGGATTAAAGCACCACTGCCCGGCTACTTAAATGTTCTAACATGGGTGCATACCTCATTTCCATTGACTTAGCTTATGGGTTTCTCTCTCTCTCTCTCTCTCTCTCTCTCTCTCTCTCTCTCTCTCTCTCTCTCTCTCTCTTCTCTCGGTGTGTGTGTGTGTGTGTGTGTGTGTGTGTGTGTGTGTGTGTGTGTGTGTGTACAGGAATCCAGGTGTCCACAGACGCCAGATGACCATCCAATCCCACAGAAATGGAGTTATAGACCACTCAGTTACAGGTGGTCGAGTCACCACACGTGGTTGTTGGGAACTGAACTCCCATCTTCTTGCAAGAGCAGCAAGCACTGTGAACCTCTGAGCCATCTCTCCAGCCCAGCTTATGGGTTCTTTGTTCACTCTTACTTAGGCCTTGCAATGAGCTACATGTATTAACATGCCTGGTCCCTGTAATCATAGTGCAGTAATTCCTACAGTACCCAATGTCCTGATGGTTCCATCTGGTTAGTACAGAAGTCAAACCGGATGATTCAGATTGATCAGGTTGTACTAGTAGATAAATTAGACTTACCAGTCTGCTTCGAACCAGAGTGGCTTGGATATTCGCCTGTGCATGGTCTCGCTCACTGGACACAATAAATAACGGGTCTGTAAAGCAGTAAAGTGAGATGAAGAATAAAGCATGTTTACATCTCCAGTGAGAATACCGGGAAAGAAGGCAAATTTCTCCCTTGTATCTCTCTCGTTTTTATTTATTTTTTTCTATTTTTCATTGAAAATAGATTTTTTTCAAATGATATATTCTGATTATGGTTTTCCTCTTCCAACTCCTCCAGATCCTCCTCCCCTCTCACCCAAATCCACGCCCTTTCTCTCTCTCTCTCTCTCTCTCTCTCTCTCTCTCTCTCTCTCTCAAACAAACAGGCATCTGAAAAATAATAATGGAGTAAAATAAGATAAAATAAAAGCAAACAAATTGGAATAAGATAAAAACAAATGGAAGAAAAAGACCCAAAGAAAAAGCACAACAAACACATATAAAGGCAGACACACACACATACACACACACACACACACACACACACACACACACACACACACACACACGTTTGCTTACTACATAGAAATCCCATTAAAAAAACACAAAAATGGAAACCATGATATACATCAAACGATCTATAAGGGAAAACAAAAAGCCCTACCGAAGCATTATGGGACAAAGGACTTCCAAAAATGCCACTGTATTTATTTTTTGGTTGGCCATCTACGGCTGGGCATGGGGCCTGCCCTTAGGTGTGGTTTATATACCCAGTGAGGCTCCGTTGGAGAGAACTAATTTTTCCTTTGTGAGTGCTTAGCAGGTGGAGACAGCTTCTGGGCTAGGGTTGGGGGCTTGTGTCCACCTCCCCTCTCAGCACTGGGACCCCGTCTGGCTTAGACCCAGGCATGCTTGTACATGCTACCACAGTCCCTGTGGTTTCATATGAGTATCAGTCCTGCTGTGTTTAGAAGGCCTTGTTTTCCCAGTGTCCTCCATCCCCTCCGGCTCTCACAATCTTTCCACCTCCTCTTCCTCAGAATTCCCTGAGGAGAGGGATTTGATGCAGACATCCCATGTAGGACTGAGTGTTCCAAGGTCTCTTACTCTCTGCATATTGTCCCTTTGTGGGTCTCTGTGTCTACGTCCTTCTGCTGCAGGAGGAAACTTCTCTGATGATGGTTGGACAAAACACTGATATGTGAGGATAGCAGAATGTCATTAAGAGTCATTTGCTACGTTCCTTTAGCAGAACAGCAGTATTTTTATTTTCCCCTAGGTTCATGACCTGTCTAGTCTCAGGTTCTTGGCCGCCTTGGCAGCGTTTGAGATAGGTTCCAGCTCAGGGAGCGAGCCTCAATCCAATCAGATATTGGTTAGTCGCTCCCACAAGCTTTGCGCCACTGGTGCACGTTTTGAAGATGATTTGTTTTGCATTTGTTTATTTACCACTGCTCATGTGCAGACACAAAAGGACAACTTGCAGGAGCCAGTTCTCTCCTTGACCCACGTAGTTTCTTTTTTTTTTTTTTTTTTTTTTTTTTTTTGGTTTTTCGAGACAGGGTTTCTCTGTGTAGCTTTGCGCCTTTCCTGGAGCTCACTTGGTAGACCAGGCTGGCCTCGAACTCACAGAGATCCACCTGGCTCTGCCTCCCAAGTGCTGGGATTAAAGGCGTGCGCCACCACCGCCCGGCTGACCCACGTAGTTTCTATGAAGGAAAGCCAGGTCATCAGACCCTTACATATTGAGCTATCTCACCGGCCCTCTCTCATTTTCAACACTGAGTCTTGCTATGCCGTCCAGGCTAGCCTTGAGCTCCTGGATGCAGAAGATCTTCCTGTCTCTGCCTTCTGAGCAGGAAGGAAGGGCTGGAGGCAAGTGCCAGTATGCCCGGCTTGCAATTTCTTAAGTGGAAAGCAAATTAGAGAGTTTAGACATCATTAGCAGCTGATGGTCCTGTTACCCTCTCCCATCTAGCAGGGAATCTGTCTGATGTGTTTCTTTCCTGGGAATTCCAATCCAGCTTATGGAATTGGAATGCAAACAAAAAGCCAATCATATTTCAAGCACAATACCCTACATACTCCTTCTTTTTTTCCTATGAATGGATTTCTTTTGGTGTCTGGGTCACCTAAAAAATACTTCAAGAGGAGGAATCTTGTATATGGACACTATTCCCATTTCCAGTCAAAAGAAGAAATTTAGCCATGCGGAGAAGACGGCTCCCTAGCAAAGTGCTTGGGGCACAAACATGAGGATGCAAGTTCAAATCCCAGCACACACATGAAAAGCCAGCACAGCAGCCTGTGTGCCTGTAAACCAGAACTGGGGAGGCGGGCTGAGGAGGATCCCCGGGGCAGTTCATCAGAATCTGTGAGCCCTGGGTCCCGTGAGACCTTGTCTTTTTGTTTTGTTTTGTTTTTTGTTTTGTTTTGTTTTGTTTTGTTTTTCGAAACAAGGTTTCTCTGTGTAGCTTTGCGCCTTTCCTGGATCTCACGCTGTAGACCAGGCTGGCCTCGAACTCACAAAGATCCGCCTGCTTCTGCCTCCCGAGTGCTGGGATTAAAGGTGTGCGCCACCACCGCCCGGCGAGACCTTGTCTTAAAAAGTAAGGTGGAGACCAACTGAGGAGGGCTTCCAGTCTTGATTTCTGCCTCTCTCCCACCACACACACACACACACACACACACACACACACACACATACACACACAGAGGGTAGATAAATTAAGAACCATTTCCCATGTTCAGTGGAAGGATGCAAACAGCATGCCCTCTTGAGAATTATAGACATGGCAAGAAAATATCGCTCTCTAATAAGAAATAAATAATATCAGTCATCTTTAGAATTAATCCCTTAGATTTATAAAGACTCTATGTCAATGATGGGCCCAAGTTATCTCTCCAAAGGTCAATAACTGATTAACCCGATACTATGAGTACCTGCTCACCGGGTATAAATCTTTAATGATGAAGGGCACTGGAGACTGAGTGTATTATTTATTAAAATCAAGCCATGGGAGGCCTGAGAAATGGCTCAGCTATTAAGAGCACTTGTTGCTAGCCTAGCTGCAAGTCTAGCAGAAGGCTCGGATTTCATTCCAGCACCCGTGAGGTGGCTCACATCTGTAACTCCAGTTCTAGGGGATCTGATGCCTTTTTCTGACCTCCAAGAGTACCGGGAACACACGTGGTACACATATATACATGCAGGCAAACACTCATACACGATAAATAAACAAACAAACAAACAAATAAATAAATAAATAAATAAAACCTATTTTTTTAAAAAGAAATCAAACAACGTGACACTAAATTCATAAGCAGCTTTCAGGGAGACATTTGATTTCCCAAGTAGATTTTTTTCCCTAGGGAAACAAATACCCTGGGCCAAACATTTATTAGATTTATTTCCTGAGATGAAACCAGGAGTAACAAAGTAGATCACTGGGCAGATCATGTGAGCAGTCAGTGCACAACCCAGGCCAAGGAAAATGGGTCTTATGGATGTTTCATGGGAATCCAAAGGGACAGAGTTGAAAAGAATGTTAGGTTCGGGGGACAGCTTTGTTCTACAGCGGGCAAAATCAGAAAAAGAAAACATCATCCTTACATGGTTGCAATCGTTGTAGCAGTAAATCCAATAACTTAGTTAACACTTGCATACCTCACATTGTGTACTGGCACAAGTGGCCGGAAGAAATAGACCACAAGTGGAAAATCAGGGCATGAACATAAACTAGAGCTTAATTAGCCCTGGGGGAATCAGTTCATTAACAATGTTTTGATAGATAAAACAGGTTGAAAGAAAACAAAAGGCCTCTGAAAACAAACGGGAGAAACCGGCACCTCTTTACCCAGAACACTGAATTTGGAGTTGTCCAGGCAGGAGATCATTTCCACTGCACATTTTATGCAGCTTGAATGCGGGCACGTTGCCTGACTTTCTAGCTCTGTAAGTCATTTCATACTTTTCTGAATGAGCATCCAAAACCTCAGACCAAGTTTCAGGAGGATAAATTATCAGGAGAACAAAGGTGACCCCTCCTGTCGCTTGGAGAAGGTGAGCGCACCTGTGGCGCTGCAGAGCGCGCGGCCACCTGCGTGCAACTATGGGGTCCGGGACAGAGGGTTTGCCCTGAGCTAGGTTTCTTTGTTTGTTTGTTTGCGTGCTTGTTGTGTTTCACTCAGCACACCCCTACCAAGTCACTGTAGCCCCCCGGAGGAGTGGCTAGCCCTTACCGTACAGGAAATCGTACGCTCGACTGGCGGTGCTGCCCTTGGCCCTCGATCCCTCGCACCGGTACCGAAACCCCTGAAGCTTGGTCTTGGGCTCCTGGATGGTCACTGTGCGGCTCATGGTGCTGCCTCTTTCCTCCCGCCAGCAGAACACCAGCTTATGGGAGGCTTGGTAGCTTGGGTGCGCCGTAGCTATGGCAACCTCAGAGGCACACGCCGGGATAAGGGGCGGGGCGAGTTGCAGGAGGCGGGGCGGCAGGGCTGGGAGGTGTGGGATGGGGGTGGGGGCGGGGTCTAGAAGGGCAGTTTGAAGAGGCAGGTAGCAGGAGCAGAATGGATGTAGGGATGCTAGGCTGACAGACATGGCAAGATGAAGAGGCGGGATGCGGGGCGACCTGAGGAACTGGGAACTGGAACGAAGGAGGCGAGAGAAAGGGGAAACGCGGGCGTGGAAAGAAGTGGGGCTAGGAAGAGGGGGCTCGGGGGAGGATGGCCTCCCTTGCGCCCAGCAAGGGTCCACGTCAAATACTGGGAAAAGAGCTACCCTAGAAAACCAAGACCAAATTGCTTCTGACGGTTTTCGCCACCAGTCTCTTTCGGAGATCCCTGGGAGGTCTCATAACCTTCTGAAAGCCCCTTTCCACAGGATCGAGGAATCCAAGCTCCTAAATGCTGGGCCTTGGTTCAGTAACCAAGAGCCTATCAGCTTCAGAGTCGGCCAGGACATCAGTAATTGAAAATCTGTCTCCAGGCTGCTGCCCTTAGCGTTAGAGCAGATGCGGACACTTCGGAGCACGCGTAGTAGGCTCTGCTTCTTTAAAAACAAAAACGTAGGAGGAAACTAAAGAGGCAAAAGTGGATCAGCTATTGAGAGTCCTCAGAACCTTTTGCCTACGGTCCATTCCTCTTTTTAAAAGAAATTTCATTTATCACTTTGCCTTAAAAGTAACCAGTATCTCAAATTAACAATGTTGTTTACTCATTAATTAATTCATTCATTATTTTTGTGTGTTGCGAATTGAATTTAGGTTCTCACATATGCTATAAGCATTCTCCTACTGTGATACACTCTAGCCCAAGTAATAGATTAAAAAAATAATTACTATTATCACAGCTAGCAAAGTTAATACTAATTCTTTTGTTTAATCATGTAGTACACATTCAAATTTGCGTGGTTGACTCAAAGAAAGATGTTATTGTTGGTTTGTCTCATTAAAGATTTTTTTTAAGTCCTCATTTTGTTCTAGAACAGTGTTTCTGGCATTTTGAAATTTAAAAAACTTTCTTAAACCAACATGGCTATCCTGAATACAGATCATAAAGATAAGATAAATGCTGGATTATTTTTCTTTTTTTCTTTTTTTTTTTTTTTCAGATCCTGCCTCAAGTTTATTTGTAAAAACAGCATGGGGTCCTGATCATCTGCAAACAGTGTGTAGGTGTGTCATACCAGTCCATCTGTCTGGCAGACAGAAGGCCCTTTTCGATGGGGCCTTCACAGGGGCCTGGGCACCTTTGGGAGTCTGAGCTCGAGCTGAGGCCTCTGCCTTGGTTTGAGCCTTGGGCTTTGGTTGGCAGAGCCTACGACCCTTGGCCATGCAGCTTCTAATCCGCTTCCCGAGCTTGGGGGGAGCAACTAAAGCAGGGTGGCTGAGCTTACGGCTGGGGCCCTTTGGCATCTTGGGCTTCACCGCCTTGGGCTTCACAAGGGCCTTGGTGGCCTCTGCATGCACACTCACTGTCTTGGCGTTGTTGGCCTGCATCTTCTTCAGGCCTTTCTTGTGCTTCTTGGCAAAGCGCATGTTCCTCAGGAACTTGGGGTCCACCCCCTTAAGAGATTTGTATCTTTGTGACCGGGGTTGTGTGTAGCGTGGTTCTTGGACTTGGCCGTGTTAGAACGGTAACCGGCGGCTCCCATGTATTATTTTTCTTATGCATTAAAATCAGAGACATGAGCAGGGTGTGCTAGCCTTTAATCCCACCTGAGGCAGGTGTACTCTGTGAGTTTGGAGCCATAACGCTTGATTGTTTTTAAGTGTTGCTGCTCTGGCTGTATGCATTTCCACATATCTGATATTCTAATTAGCTTGAACTTCACAGCTTTTAAAATAATATTTTGCTTTAGGTCACATTTTTGGGAACCTGTTGAATTTTTTTCCTTCTGAATTTTGGTTCATGGACTCACAACTATAGAAATGAGGGAATTTTCCCGGACCAAGAACTTAAGGTAATAATTCAACACTTCTCTCCATTTTTGGATCTATTCCACACAGTCTATGTCTGATGTTTATCTTCAGATAATTAACCGACCTGTGGTAAAGTCCTAAGGTGACCCCCAGGACCCTGGGCCCTTGGGATTTGTGCTCTGGTAAGCGTATCCAGCCTTGTGACATTGCAACACGATGTTGTCATTTCTCTCTGAAAAGGTCACACTCTAGCAACTCACAATTGAGTTTTTTTTTTTTTTTTTAAAGCCCAAAAAGGTCTTCATGGTGGGTCCTCCGCAGGTTAAGATGCTTGCCAGACAGCCTGAGTTTGACCCCCAGAATTCACATAAAGGTAGAAGGATAGAACCAGCTCCACAGAGCTGTCCTGACCTCCACATGCTCGCACAGCAAGGGCCTCCCCCCAATCACACACACGGTGCTAATAAAACACTTTTAAAAAAATTCAATGGTTTAAGCAAGTTCAGATTAGGATGCCTTCATAACTGTCCTGGGCTGGGTGCTCATGGGTTTGAGTTGAGCATGCCTCAGAGTGCTGTATGAGACCTGCTCCTTTAGTATTAGCACTTGTCTTAACCAAAAGGTTCTGCAAACCATGGTGGGAAATCAGTGGCTATGTGATTGATTCTTTTACAGAGACCTTTAATATTCATTTTGCTCTCCCTTCATTAGGGATTTTTGAGTGACCACGCTGGGAAACCTCCCATTGCAAAGAACTTGCAAATGGCCTCTAGGAGCTGAGGTGGCCTCCAACTGACAACCTGAAAGAAGCCAAAGCCCTCATCCCCAAAATAGCAAGAAACCGAATTTTTCTAATACCTGAAGTGAGACTGGGAACATACTCATCTTCACTGGAACCTCAGATAAAATAGAAACTTCTACCAGTCTTAATTGCAATCTAGTAAAATCCTGAAGCTGTGCCCCGACTCCTGGCCTATAGAAACAGTGAGGTGACGAATGTCTGCTACCTTTAGGCTGTGATAATAATGTTACATAGATGTCCTGGCGCCATGGGGCTGTTAAGTGCACGTGACTTAAACAACAGACACTCATTTCTCACAAGGCATCTAGAATGTCTAACATAAGGAAAGTGCAAGTCAGTTTTGTTCCTGATAAGTGCTACCTCCTTGTTCTGTTCTGTTCTCATATGACATCATCGAGGGGGACAGTGACAAGTCTCTTCTTATAAGGGTCCAAATCCCGTCACAGAGCCTCCATCCTATGACTTCAGTGCCCTTAAGTACCACGGTGGAGCCTAGGACTTCATTTGGGCAGGACATAAACATTACATCCATAGTAAACAATAAATGGCTAATGGACAGCCTTCATGAAGTTAGGTTCTAGTCATTTAGTTGCATAAAAGAAACTCCAGTACTGAAAAGAGATGCTTGTTAATGAAATTTAGTTAAAAGGAAAGATTTGATCATGTTGAGAGAACTCTCCACAGGGGCTTTGTCTGTCCTTGTCCCTTTGAGTAGGAGATAATGTTGGGTAATAGAGGCAGCATTGCCTTTTAAGCAAAAGTGTGTGTGTGTGTGTGTGTGTGTGTGTGTGTGTGTGTGTGTGTGTGTGTTGGTGGTGGTGACATTTTTATTTCTCTTCATTACAAATGTTGTGTTCCTACAAATACCCAATACCCGTGTGGCTATCATTTGGTCTTTTTCACATCACCCCTGAGATATGGGCTTCTGGAACCTGGTATAAAGATGCTAATGCTCTGTGCTGCTTCTGCTTCTGCTGCTGTTACTAATAAACTGTCCCTTCTTTGTGACCCAGTAGTTTGATGGCTTCTACCATCACTTTTGAACTGGCCTGCAAATGAGGTAAAAACTCGGTCTTTTCAGGGAGATCAGAAATCAGAGAATATTGTATAGTATGTATTTCCCCAGGGAAATTGGAACGCTTTTTTTTCCTTCAGAGGCAGACATGAAAATATTATGTAAAATTACTTAGTTCTGAAAGCAACACAGAGGCTGGTTATTAAATCAACTGATGAGAATGTAGGCCATGTAATTCTCCACTCTCAACACACGGTGTCGCTCCTACTCTGCCAGCTGCAACCACCCACCCCTTCTTGGGTGACGTCATCGAATTTAGGCATGGTAGGCACAGGACATCTTCATCACTGAAGAACTTCAAATAGTAATTCATGCCGGGTGGTGGTGGCGCATGCCTATAATCCCAGCACTCAGGAGGCAGAGGTAGGCAGATCTCTGTGAGTTCAAGGCCAGCCTGATCTACAGGGTGAGTTCCAGGGTAGCCAGGGGCTACACAGAGAAACCCTGTCTTGAAAACCAAAAAGAGAAAAAGGAAGAAAGAAAGTAATTCCTTAGTTGTTGGTTGTGTTAGTGGCTCTGTCATCCCACTCACAGAACTGCTAGTTGGTGGCACCTAAGTCTGCTCAAGTCACTATTTCAAGCTTGTCACCTATTAATTTAGTAATTGTAAAACAACAGTCGAGAGTTACGAAGGGTAAAATGCTAGTTAAAATAAAAATTAAGGAGCAATAACTGGATATAAAAAGCATTAAACTTCTTCTAACTAATCTTATCTTTTCTTAGTCTCCATATGTTAACCTATTTTCAAGTTTTAAATTTTTGGTGTGTGTGTGTGTCACAGTGTATGTATGGAGTTGTTTATCTCATGCCACCAACTGAGTCCTGGGGATTGAACTCAGGTCATCAGGCTTGGTGGCTAGTATCCTTACCCACTGAGTTATATCTCAGGCCCTTCAGTTTAATAACCTAATTACAGCTCTTCTTGGGGGAAATCAGTTATTGATGTTTTTCTTGGGATTAAATAGGAAACAATAATTGGGCATGTTTTATATTCTTAATCTCCATTTAATATAAAACACAGGAAAGTGAGGGAATCTCATCTATAGCCTCAGGCAGTATCTGATTGTATTCTCAGCCTTTTGGTTGGTGGGAACTAGAGGGTCTGTTTGGACATCCCAAAGGATTTACCTAATACTCACCAAGATATTAGGTCACATACAGAATGGAGCAATAAAGGCCACTAAGGGGGCTAAATCTACTCCAAGACAATCTGGCTGTGGACGAGCAACATGCCACTCTCACTTCATCATTAAACTGGTAACCAATTGATCAGCCTTGCAGGAAGTTCAAAGTAAGGTGTGGTTCATTCCAGGAACTTCCTTTCACAAAGGGAAAAATGGTATGAAAAATTATCAGTTACAAAAAAGTTTCGGTTTTTCTCTCCCCCCCCCCCTCCTTTGGTCTACAAATTGTATCAAACTTGATCCTCTTAATGCCATAAAATTTCCAGTTCTCTCTTTTTCTTCTTTGCTCATTTATTATACTTAAAAAATGCAGTAGCACAAGTAAATACAGGTCAGTGGTTGTAAAATGAAAGCTACTGCGCATTGAGATACATTGCATGGGAGAGTAAATGAAATATGGGGAGGGGAAGCCTCAGGAACTATGTAACTCAACAAATTCCATGCGCTTCTGAACCTCAGTTTGTTAGGAAGATTAAATGACTCTCAAACTTAGCACTCTACAGCTATTATGCTGAAGATTATCTTGTTCTGACTCGAATTTAAGAAATGCCAGGAAAAAGTATTTTTAATTTTATTAATTGGTGTAGTGACAGATATATGACTGGACAATTTCTACTAAAACCAGTTGGGGACTGAAGACATGTAACTCGGTTGGCAGAGTGCTTGCTTAGCATTAGGAAAACCCTTACAAACCAGGCATGGATGGCACATACTTGTAATGCCAACCCTTTCTGATCGGTTCAGGGTCCTCCAGCTTAAGGCAGAGACCTTGTCTATAAATACTTGTGTTTTAAAAAATAAACCCCGCCCCCCCAGCTCAAATCTAGTTTAAGGAAGTCACTCAAACACGTGCCCAGTACCATCTTAGTGAACGTCCTTATAGCAAGAATGGCCAAGTTGAAGCCATGGAGCTTCACTGAGGGTTTTACACTTTCACTACCAATTACTTTCTTATTCACTTATCCAACAGAGAGAGAGAGAGAGAGAGAGAGAGAGAGAGAGAGAGAGGAGAGAGTTGAAACTAGAAAAAAAAAAAAAAAAGCTTCATATAACTATGGCGTCATGAAATGTTAGCTGAAGATTTAGCGTATATGCCGGAGAGGAATAGGAATTAGGGGACCTTTGTCCCCAACATCTGCAGATTGTACAGCATGATGGGGGAAGGGAAGGAAGAAGGGAGGTCACGAAATGCCCCAGGACCTGTACTCAAAGGAACTGAATTTCACTAATGGTTTCTCTCATGGTGCTCTGGAAGTCATTTTGCTTTCTTGGGCTACAGTTTCAACATCCATGGGAGGGACTGAGAGGCCTCTCAGCTGTCTCCCCATGCTCCACCTCTGCAAGGCCTGCCCAAGCACACTTTAAAACTCGGGGTGAAATAAGTACGCCAGATCAGATGGACAAAAGGCATCAACTCAAAGAAAAACAGAGGAAAGCTGGGAATGGGAAAGGAGGTCTTCCCCAGGGAAGAGCACACTAACTGGTTGTTCAGTGCTGAAAGGTCAATCCTTAAAACATACATACAGGTAGCATTATACTGAACTGAAGAGGTTATATTTAGGAATATATATGTATACATTTATATATGTGTATATGTCTATATATATGCATGCAATAACAATTAGTTTTTAAAAAAGAGGTCATAAATTTGAAGGACAGCGGGGAAGGGGTATGGATATGTGAGGGTTTATAGGGAGAAAAGAGAAAGGGAAAATGTCGCAATTAAATTGCAATCTCAAAAATAACACTCGGGGTGACCTTTTAACCTTTGCGCCTGCGCTGAAGCCATGCCCTTGGGTCAATGCCCTCGGTCCCGCTTCTTTTGCGCACGCGCAGCTCGGGGCTCGCTTCCGTTCGGAGAGAGGCGGGACTTCCTGTCCTCTTTAGCGTGCCTGCGGAAGTGGGTGCCGGCAGCTCGGGTTGGCCGCTGCTTGGGATCTCTGCGCGTGTGCACTCGTTGCTGCTCTCGGCTGGAAAGATGCCGGGTCTGGCCGCCGCCAGCCCTGCCCCGCCTGAGGCTCAGGAGAAGAAGCCGCTGAAGCCTTGCTGCGCCTGCCCGGAGACCAAGAAGGCGCGCGATGCGTGGTCAGTGCGCAGCCGGGGAGGGACGGCCGGCCGGGCTTCCGCAGCCTCGGCTCCGCTCTGCTCCCTGGCTCTCCGGAGTTAAGGGGACCCATAGTTTCACCCTGTTCCCTGAGCGCGCACCTCGGTCTCCGGGGTAACGGGAGAGGGCAAGAGGTCAGGTTGGCCCCGAGGTCCTCGTCCTTCATTCCTTGCTACAGTGCCCTTTAACCTTCTTAGGTCCAGATATATAGAAGTGCGTCAAGATGCTGTTTGACTTAACGGAACTTAATATGCGGAGATCTGTCAACAGCCGTTCCTATACCACTTAGCTATGGTAAATGTAGCAAGACCAGAATGCAAAATTTTCAGGTGATTTCTAAGAATTTTTCCAAAGCGTTGAGCGTATAGTTGGACACGGGATACATTTCTGTAAGGATCCCTTTCCCCCCTTTAAAGGGCCGAAGGCTAAAAAGCAGCCTGTCTGGGGCTGAAGAGATGGCTCTGTTTTAAGAGAACTGGTTGCCCTTCCACAGCACCTGGCTTCAGTTCCCAACACCCACCCGATTGGCTAACCAGCATCTTCAACTCCAGTCCCAGAGGAGTCCGACGACCTCTTATGGCTCTTGTGGGCACTGCATACACATGGTGTACAGACGGACACGTAGGCAAAACAACCATACGCATAAATAAAAACAAATTAAAGAAAAAAACAACCCTGTGTACAATATAGGTGACATTAATGTTTATCTTATCAAGTCACAAAAGGTTTTGTTTTTTCTCACTTGTATGAAGTCTCAATTCTAGATCTCATTAGCAGTCCTCAGATAATGTGAATATGCATCTCTGTCTGTTTCTCCCACCAAAGTAGAAAAGTAATAGTAGAAAGATATGGGTGCTCATGCCTGGGGAGCACCCGTTATTCATTATTGGGGGGACCAAAGCAGGAGGATTGCCACTGTTCAAGTCTAGCCTGAGCAACAGAGTGAGACTATGTTTTAAAAAACATACACGAAAGAGAAATTATCCGTTGGTATAGTAAGATAGTTAAGTGAACCTTAGTTATTATCACTACTTTGCAAGCCATACTGTAAATGGAGAATTTAAAGATGGGTCTGATACCGAGGTTCCTGCAATGGTAATGCATGCTTCTGGAAACTTTGGGAAATGTGATGTCAAGATTAAGAGCTTAGAAATACAGGCAGACCTTGAACCCTGATCCTCCAATTTGATGACCTTGTGCAAGGTACTTACCATGTCTGCCTCCCTGTGTAATGAGTCCAATAAATGGACTACTCCGGCATTTCTGTAAGGTGTCTATTATATGGAACTCACCGTCAGTCCCACCCAGTCTCTCGTTTGCTGGTAAGCATTAGTAGTAGACCCTGTTCCCCAACTCCTTTTGAGACACGGTCTTGACATGTAGCCCAGGCTGGCCTCCGACTTAGGTTCCTCCTGCCTCAGCTTCCCAAACGTGATTTCAGGCATATGTCAGTACATTCTAGCTCTTATGGCTACTTCATAGGTTTTTATCAATGAAATGCCAGTTAATCTTTCAAAGAAGGATTCATCTTACGGCTCCTGGCTACCAGATCTTTTTTGACGTTTATTGTTGTTGGGTGTTTAATGATTACAATTAGGTTTAAGTGTGTTTGAATGTAAGGAGAAACAGGAAGTTAATTCCCGTGTGATAATAAGGCCCCAAAGTGAAGTGCTTCCCTCTTCCCTTCGTCTAATGTAACTATTCAATTGATTTCATTATAAATAAGTTTATTATTCCTTGGTTATAGACTAAAGACATCGTTTGCTACACATAATTATTTCATCTAGTTAGAACCTTCCCCAAACAACGACAAAAACAAACCTCAAAACCTTAGTTGTGTGGAACATCTTTGTGGGCGTGGAACCGTCGTAAGATCAAACAGGGCACAGGAGCCATGCTGTTCGGTGTAGTGGGTTTTTGTAACTTCAGCCACCTTCTGCATACCCACAGTCTCACTCCCCTGCACGGTCATACATCCTGTGCTTTCTGTCTGTTAGGTAACCACTGCCTTTCATTTTACAGCATCATTGAGAAAGGAGAAGAACACTGTGGACATCTCATCGAGGCCCACAAGGAGTGCATGAGAGCACTGGGGTTTAAGATATGACAGGGTGAGTCAACTGTATTGCTTCAGGTTTGTGTATTACTTTACAGAGGTAGCTATGGGGCAGCATTCTCTCTGGAAGGTAGCTTGCCTGGTTAATCTAGCGTGTTTAAATAGCACTTTAAAAGTAGCTTTTCAGTTGCTAGTATGGGGCAGTAAATGATGGCGTTTGAGAGCAGCCAGTAAATCTGAGACAATAAGAAGCTTTTGAGAACTGGCTTGATAAGAGCCTTTGGAGTTACATCAGGGTCAGAGAGGCCCACAGCTGTGGGAAGTTCAAGTACCCTGTTGTATTCCAGCTGCTGTCTCCAAGTCTCGTTAGAGGGGCCTTTCCTCCATGCCCCGTGTGAAGTAGTGCCCCTGCCCTGCTGCTGTTCCAGCCATGTCCAGTAGGCCTTCCTATGATGGTAGAGGTAGACGGTAACCACATTCTCCAATGTGGTAACCACTAGCCCTGTGTGGCTATTAAGCACTTGAATTGGGCATAATGAGGCCGGGGAACTGAATTCTTAATGTAGAACAAGGTTAATAGTTGTTCTGTGGCTAGTAGCTACTCTTGTCTTTACAGTTACCACCTGTATACCGAGCATCCTCTTACAGTGATCATCCTGCCTCCCTCTAGCTAGGATGTACGTTCTGGGAAGCATCTGGTTTCACTCCCAGCCTATCCCTAGCACCAAGACCACTCCCTGGCACACAGTAGATGCTGATTAGGGTATCGTTGATCAAATGAATGAGTAAATGAATGGGGACATTAATGGTGGTTCAGTGTGGCAGGATTCCTGAGCTGGGCTCAGCAGGATCGGAACTGGAACCTCAGCCTCCAGGCAAGCATTCTGTTTGTGCTGTCCTCACGTCAGACCTCGCCGCCACCTCTGATTTAGTGACGGCAGAGAGATAGCAAGGCCACATTCCAGTTTAATAGTAGCGGAGAGGTGGTTTCTTCCTCTTTCCCTCCCTTAGGAATTTCACCCATGACTCCTCATGGTCTTTGAAGTATAGAAAGGAGATAAATACCCCCTCCCCGATAAGAAGTGTGACTGGAGGAGAAAAGTGTTTGAAGATACAGGCCCCGACGTCTGTCATGGCTTTCTTCGTGTTCTAGCTCTTTCTACTCAGTTATTTTAAGCTCTGCCTAGAGCTTCATGGGGGATTGGAGGCTCAGTGAAGGGTAGTGGTGGGATGACATTTTTTGTATTCTCCAAACAGAGGCACTCTGGGTTTTACTCATACACTTCATGAGCTTTTATTGCCAGCTCGCTCATTTTTAGGACTGTACGTTTCCTTAATCTTAGTCCTGAGACTTATAAGGAATACTAATGAAAAGGATGTGTGGCTAGAATGCATGGGAACACATACCTCAGAACCAAGCCTCTGCCCGTAGTAAACTCCAGCACAGCCACCTGCCCTGCTCAAGGGGAGCCTGATTAAATTGGTGTGTCTCTTAGACTGCTAATATGGTAGACCATATTTTCTGAGAAGCTCTTCGGAGGAAAAATACTTCCCAAACTTAGGTTGTTCCAGCAGTGGTCATGAAAGGTCCCTAGTTCAAGCCCTCCATCGATCTTAATCAGAGCTGGCTCACAGCAAATGGGGATAAGTGTTACCCTCTCCATGCTCTATCTCCAAGTTCTCTACATCAACCACTGGTTCTTACCTCGAAACACTTAAGGAACACTTTCCAGAATTCACCTGCTGACTCTAACTCTCAAATGATTTTCCAGTCCTTTACATCCATCTGCTAACATTATAGAAACAGAGACTATGCTAAATATGAAGTGTCTTAAGACTAAGGGTAACAAAAAGAGACTCAGAAACTATAAAGAAAAAATAGATATTATGGCAGTGAGTGTAGACAGTCTTCAATCTTATACCTTCCTCTTACTGAGAGAGAAGGTTGACAAATCCAGCACCTAATGAGAGATACCAGGAAGTGGGTGGTTCTTACCTTCCTGCGTTTAAGGGTCAGAAGAAACATGGAAAACCTGCTAAAATCCAATTAAAGTAATGATGACGCTATTTGTTTGTTTAATTGAACTTTATTTTATACCTATATTGTTTACAAAAGTATTTCAAGATAATGCATTACAGGGATCATTTGTAACACTCAAACTTAAAAACAAGACAAAGCACCTATTAAGACCCTCTGAAATGCCAAAATCAAAAGACAGTCCCGCTTACCAGGGACTCTCCACCCAGAGAAGAACCAGGAGTTTATTTATATCCTCTTTCACAGTCAGCCCCGCTGATCGGTAGCAGTACCAAAGAAGTAAGGGTGCGGCAGGCTGTTGAAATGGTGCATAGCTCCGTTTCTGCTGCTTTTTCCTGCTCAGACCTTTGCTCAGGGGTATTGTTCTTCCTTCAAGCTCTTTAGGAAAAAGGGAATTTAGGTGTCTGTATGTTGGTGAGGCTTGTTTCCTGTCTAAGTCAAACAGGGAACAAGTCTAGGAAGTTCTTGATTTAGACTTAAGTATTGGCTGCCTAATAGCCACCTTTTCAATGCTACTCTCCATCTTCTTGCATAGGGACTAGGGCGGGCGTGGGTAAGGGGTCATGGCGAGAAGCCTGACTGGAGACTAGGCCAGCAGCGCTGTCCTCTGCCGCTCTCCCCCTGGATCTTCGCTGTGGACCTAGAGGCTTCTCTTTCTTGCCCTTGGGTCAAGGAGGACTGCCCACAGGAACTGTGTGTACTGAACTGACCTTCCTTCCGACTTTAACGTGGACTGTTGCCAGAAGCTCTTGGATCAGCAGAGACTTGCAGGTCTCTTCTATTTAATGTTAAAAGTACAGTGCCTTGGCCTGTTTTTAAAGGTACTTTTAAGAAAAATAGTGTTTTTACCTCACGAAAGCTTCTAAAGATTAGTTATTGTAATGAACAGTTTCAGGGGTGGTGTTAGTTTCTAAACTAGAATTTTTATAAAGCAATCTTTATTTCATGACTGGTTTAGAAGGATTGTGACCATTATTTAGAATTTCAGGGAAGCATTTATTGCTGATGGTCTTAAGTCCCTAAATCCCTGATTCTGATTTGATGTTTGAACTCTGAATTTCTAAAATAAAATCTTTTCTGTAGGTGGCCTACTTTGTGAATGAATAATCCCTGAAGAATGAAGAAGATGGAATATTTTGGAAGTTCTTTGTTGAACTTTGATAAGTGGATAAAGTATTTATAATTTATTAAAAAACAAAAGGAAAGAAAATGTGGTAAACAGTCTCTGTTGTTTCTTTTTCTGTTCCTCACACACCCGCGTAACTTTGTGTTCAGTTTCCTTTTTCTCTTACAATGTATAGCAGCAACTCTTGTGCTTTGAGTTTCTTTTGAGTTATTGGGACATCACGGGATTAGTTATTGTTAGGAGAAAGCAGATTCTTCTCTCAAGAAGTAAAATCTTCAAAATTAGGAATATGGAACTAGGAATGAACATCTTTTACCTGTTCAGAGTGATGTCACAGCCACATCATCATCTCAGTCAAGACTCGTGGTTGACCATATTTTGCCTTTTAGTGCATTGAGTTGAAAATCTCAAATGCCGGCTGGAGATTCAGCTTAGTGGCTGAGAACTTGTCTGGTGTACATACCTCAGACAAACGAAAACCTCAGAAACAGAAGGTGCCGAGGGATATCACTAGAGGAGTATTTAATCTTCATGTGTGGTGGGGTGGTGAATCCTTCCTAGAGTAAAAGAGCTCAGTCAGGTCCGAACTCTGACTGACCTAACTCATGGGTTAAGTGTGTGAATTCATTCTGTAGCTTACTGTAACGTAACCAGAATGTTGTATCTGGCGGGTGTGTGTGTGTGTGTGTGTGTGTGTGTGTGTGTGTGTGTGTGTGTGTGTGTGAGAGAGAGAGAGAGAGAGAGATGCTGTGGTGTTATCTGGTTTTATGGTCATGTAAAGAAGAAATCAGCTAAAACCCACCAGCCTATCACTCAGTGAAGGGTATTTAGAGGTTATGCATGTTTTCAAGGCTCTCCATGGATACTGCCTAATTCATATTTAGAAAGGCAATATCCATGTGCTCCTTAGTGTCTGAGGGTCCCATTTCCCTCAGCTCAGAGGCAACACATTGATAGCTGACCTTTTCCAGTTTGATATTCTCATCTGATTTGTTAAGGAACTAAAACACACATTGAAAATACATCTCAGGAGACCCTCTGCCCATCCTTCCCAGTGCACAGCCTTCCCAGAAACAATATGCAGCATTTCAGTAATAATACTTAGATCTAACACAGCGAATGGAAAGTAAAGAATTTGATCTAGTAGGTGGCTACCGAATGCTGACACACCTTTCTCATACTCAGTAATTCCTAAACTCGGTATAGATCCACTCTAACAGGTCCCTTTGTCTAACCTTGAGGCGTTCAACTTCAAAGTTAATGAAAACAGGTCATGTCCCTAGGCAAGGTCAAACCTAGAATTACTCTGCCTCCCCTGGGTCTGGGGTGATGCTTCTGGAGAAACTGTACCCCCACTTTACAGGTGAGGTGAGTACAGGTGTTTAGAGAAATAGCTGATGACCCGGCGTGTGAGTCTCGATTGTCATCTGAGCCCAGTGCTTACTGTACCAGATACCTGATAAAAGTTCATGTTTGCAGATATATAGTTATCCAGTATGTATTTAGCAGAGGCTGATGATGTGTTGGGACAGCCCTAAGTATCGAGTTACGTGGTCTGACTCACTGTTGGCTCTGTTGGACTGGAGAATGACCTGTGACTTACAGCCTCACTTTCAGTCTTGAACAAGGGGATTTAGTAAGTATATAGGAAGCAAAAGTCAGGACAGACAGCAGAAGACCATCCAAGCGGGCGCCCAGGACACCTGGCAGAAGTGAAGAGGGAAGCCCTGCTGCGGCAGCCAGCTGGAGTTCCTGTTTCAGAGTTGGGAGAGCAGTGCCTCCTTTGTAAAGGACACATGACAACAGAAAGGTAACCCTCAAGTCAGCTGCTCACAGTTATCCAGCAGAAACCGACCGGGAAGCTGAGGCAGCTGGAATTCCTAATGAGAGGGTCCTTCCAGCTTCCCATTCCCACTGCAGGCATTTTTACATTACGGGATAAATAGTCTCTGATGGAAACAGTTCACTTTCTAGTGGTTCTCGGGGGCACAGTTTTAAATGCCCTTGACTGCTCTCCCTGACCCAGGGTGAGTTTGTTTTGGAGGACACTGGACATAAACAAACATGCTTGGGTCTAAAGCAGTGGTTCTCAACCTGTGTAGCCCCTTTGTGGGTCGACTAATCCTTTCATATGGTTTGCCCTAGACCATCAGAAAACACAGATATTTACATCACAATTCATAACAGTAGCAAAATTCCAGTTATGAAGTAGCAAGGACAGTAATGTTATAGTTGGAGGTCACCACCACACGAAGAGCTGTATTAAAGGGTCACGGCATTGGGAAGGTTGAGAACCACCGTCTAAATAAAGTGTGTGCAGAACGGCAGGGGTGGGGTGGGGGTGGGGTGGGGGTGGGGTGGGGGTGGGGGAGCAACACCACTTCCAGAGCCAGCTTCTCAGTGAGCTCAGACAACACATGACAACATGCATTATATATACAGACTGTCCTCCAGGCACACCGTTTCAACTTTGCTGTGCTCAGAATACAAAGATTGTAAGGTGTGTACTCATAAAGAGCTTCTAATCTGGTGAGTACATAAATAAAAATGGTCAGAAATGAAAACCTGAATGTTTTTTTCCTATGCTGGGTATTCAAGGTGCTTCCCACAAGAATTCATGTGTAACTCTGCCCCCAGGTTCTTTATTTAGCTATTAAAAACTTACGGGCTTGGAGATGGTTCAGTGCCGGCCTCACAAGTGTGAGGACTGGAGTTTCGATCTTCAGCCCCGTATAAAAGCCAGGGCCAGAGGTGTGCATCTGCAACCCCAACAGTGTGTGTGTGTGTGTGTGTGTGTGTGAGAGAGAGAGA